GATAAGACACAACTTACAAAGTACAATTTTAAATAGTTTAATATCTCTTTTTATTCAGCAAAAAAATTAATCTCTCTTTTTTGTTTTTGCTTTTTTTTTTCCCCTTTTTTGCGAACAATTTCCCTCCTTTTTTTTGGAAACCAAAAATTTAGGTTAATAGACACCATGTGCCAAATATATAACAGAAGCAAACCAATTTTTTCTTTTTTTCTTTTTTTTTTCTCTTTTTGCTATAAAGTTTATGCAAAAACACATCTTATACGTAATGAGATACGTATCTCACACAAACATACAGCACGTGCGATTGAACTGAACAAACGGTTATGTACAAAAGTGTCATTGTTTAACGTCATGGGACCCTGCAACAAAAGTTTTTTGGAAAGGAGAAACTCACTTGAAACAATCTTGCTGGCTGAAAAATCCAAAATTTGAATCCAAATATCTAATTTACACTCGCAAGGACCTTTACTCTTAATTCTCGATAACAATGAAAAAAATGGATTGTCATAAGAAGATAAAAAAAAAAAAAGGAAGGCCCTCAACCAGCTCAAAAATAGCAGAAGCTATCAACAGAAACCTCATGACTAACGGAAGAACGACAGGGAATCAATATTTTTGCAAGCAAAAATGGGCTGTCATGAACACAAACAATGGCGACTACAAAATAAATATTTTCGTGACCATGGAAGCACTCGGAACCCCCTTCCAGAGTAGATAATGATTCTATGCTGATAGCTGAGAGTGGTGCCCCACGCGTCACAGATCAATTCAGCTATTCCAAGTAAGCCTCTCATCTCAACCAGTGAAGAGAACGAATAGAAGAAGTGGTTGTTGCAATCTGATGTCAACCAAAGATCCATCCAACAATCAGCAAGTAGCTCCTCCCCCCTCTGCAAACACCACTTCTGATGCGAGTCGCAGTATTGTTTCATTGCTAGGGAATATCGGACAGTGTTCATGTTATTCCATCTCAAAGGAAAAGCCTATTGCTCGAGGTAATCTGAACTGCGTAAGGTTATCAAATGCTCGTCTTCAAGGCTCTTCATTGAATCTCCAGAGATGTACCATGTTACGCTTCCTGCAACGATGAGCAGAGTTACATTAAAAGCGAAAGGGAATCTTAAGATCTTGTGCCACAATAGCAACCGTGAGACTATCATACAATAAGTCATTCTCGTAATTGGCCTAAATGAATTGGCCTTGCTGCCAATTTTTACAAAGTACGAACCTGAGCCTCTGCCACATAACAGGTTCAATCAGAAAATTCCATGAGCTGTAGTCTTCTATTTATTCTTTCTACTTCATCTCATTTGTTCTATATTTTTTATAGCAATAAAGCCAGAACATTTATCCACTTTATAAGATGTCAAAACTTTTATATATGCTGCTGATTGATCATCTTAGATTGCTTAGTTATTTACAAATATATGCAAGTCAAAAGGCAGTTATATATATCTTGCCGTGCTAGTAATTAAACACAACTGCAAAATGGAAAGAAAGAAATCATCAAGTTGAATCTGGTCTCTTAGTCGAGAGACGGGATGACCTAACTGCTGTAGGAAATGAAGTTCTAGGGACATCCTTTTTCTTTTCTTTTCTCGTCTTTTCCCTCTGAAACATAAGCTGTGTGACACTGCTGTTTATATTTCCAACACGCTTCTAAATGAAATGGTCTATCACCGTAGTTTTACCAGCTATATATCTAAAAATTCCAAGTGGTGTGATTCCAGATCATAGAACTCAGGAAGAAACAGATTTTTGATACCTTGCGTTGAAGCAGGTTCCTTTTCTCTGGTTGCATGAAGTATGATCGTTCCCGACAAAACAGTGATGAATCCACATATCTCGGAGGCTATGCTACTGATATTCTGACCAGACCAATCCTGATGATCATGTACACGTGAAGATGAACTTTAGAACTCCTTTTTTGTTTATAGCCTCATAAGAAAATGTCAGTAGATGAGTTAAGCAACCTACCTTGAACATAATTGCACTTGCAATAATGGTCAGAGTTGTGAACATGACATAATAAACAGGAGAAACAATTGCTGCGTTGAATGTATCTAATGCCTGAGAAGAAAGGAGCCGTGAACATGAGTGATATGAGAAGGCAAAACCTCTTTATCTTCAATGCTATATAATAAAGTAGAGATTTAGATAGATTGCAGAATGGAAAATGGCTGAGAACCAGCCTTCAAAGAACTTATCAGCATAATCAAACATCCTTTCTGATATTAAGAAGCCCACAAGTTGTACACTAAAACTCTTGCACATAAGGTAGAACATCAATAGACAACGAGCATAGTGTTATCTGCTAAAACTAAAAGAAACTCAACAAGGTAAAAAATAGCCCGGAAAAGGTTTTGCGATTCAGAGGCATATGCTCAAATACGAAAAAGAGTAATCTACTTTTGATTTTTCTCATGTCCTTGAGAAAAAAATATAAAGACGAGATGATTTCTTTGTACAGCATTAGTTCTAAAATAAAACACTGACAAATGCTTTAGGAACAGGCCAACATAAACGACGCTCACCTTGTTGAGATAATTTAATTGTGTAATGACACAGATTGCTGCAACGGTCAGAAAAAACCAAGTTTGAGGGTACGCTATTTGACTTATTCCATCAAGGGTAAGCTTTATAGCAATTCCAATGGCCTTTATGCTTACGACCTAAAAAGTAACAAAGAGGGATTAGTTTCAAAGATTAAGCAGCTAAAGCTTGTTTAATTACGAGTTACAACCAAATTCAAACACATACGGCTAGGAAACAGAATCTACTGTTGCTAACTCAAACAGGGAAGTAATAATAATATTATAATAATTATTATGAAATAACAAGAACAATAATAATACCGTAAGAGAACCCATCAAAGAACAAATTCCCAAGTAGATCAGTATGTTTGTCTGTCCACAGCGAGGTTCAAAATGCAAAATCAGAGCGAGCACAAGAGAGATTGTAGCCGCAACATAAACCAAGAAGTCTACCAGTTCAAAAAGAAAGCAGAAGCAATTAGCAGAGTTAAAAAGATAAAGATATTGATCGAACAAAAAGGCAAGCAAGTTATACTGTGTAATACCTGGTTGAGTTGCAAGATTCCATATTTCTTGAACGGAATTTAGAATCTTCTCCTGAGGTGCATGAATTACAATTACCACTGAGCCTACAATACAGGACACACATCCCAGAACACCCATTTTCTGCAGCCGTTCCTTCAACAAGAAGTGAGCCAAAACCGCACTACACAGATTCGTTGTACACATGAGTTCTAGCACAAAATTGAAACCTTTTTTTTTTTTTTGGAATCAGTTGCCACAATAGAGAACTCGGACATAGCTGCATTACCTGATTATTATACTCAGTGCACCAAGAGGGGTTACAAGAACCGCAGGTGCATATACATAAGCCACAAAATTGGCAACCTCTCCAACAATCACTGCAAGGCCAGAGATACTGAGATCAGTCGCTTATGGTTTCATCTATTAATTCATCCAAACAATATCTGTCAGTAAAAGGACAGACTTCAATTACTAATGCTTCACTTACTTGTCATCATGCCAGCCCACCATAGAGGCTCTAGTAAGTATGTATATCCACCAACTCCTACATCAGCCGAGGTGCAAACATTAACTTCACTTGCACATTTTGGTAAACAAAAATTTGATAGCCACAAGACATAAAGACTGGCCAAAGTATAATTCAAAGACGACGGTTAGGTTTCAATTAGGTTTTGGAGCCAAAAAGGACACATGGTCCACGCTCCTTACCAGAGATAACTCCAGTTTCATCGTTTTCGGTGTTGCACATGACAAAATTGAAACACGCGGAGAATCTTCAGCCAAAAAACTGAGAAACATATCAACCATTTTCAAAAATCATAATTACTCTCATCTTTTTTACTCAGTTGAGCAATTAGGACTACCATTAGAACCCCAGATAACAAGCAATGGGCGAATTTACATATACAGGTAATTCTATCCCCCTACACTTAAAAAAAAAAAAAAAAATCCATTCTTTTCTATCTTGATTCTTGTGTAGAATCGTAGATGTCCTAAAATGTTCTGAACCTGAATCAGTCTCCACATCCATAATTTCAACATTTTTTTCTACTTTAATTGGTCAAAACAAATGTTAAGAAAACTTGTACAAAAGATTGCACTTTGATTGCATTTTAAATTTATACTACATCCATTTGCGTGATTAATTACCATCAAATATAGTCCACCAAATTGCCGAATTGACCAAAATACAACTCAATACGAAAAAGAAAAAAAGCAGAGCACTTTACCACAAATCCAATTCTGTCTACCACACAAGAAACAAAAATCAACTTAATTGAAGAAAAAACAGTAAATTCCAGAGATCTAAGAACCCATAATTAGATGATGAAGCCACAGATCAGAAACCTGCACGAGTGCCGGTGGCGCCAGCGCGCTTGAGGCCCTTCTTCTTGAGGATGAAACTCGACCCGATGAAGGCGCTCGACGCCACAGCTAATATCAGCCCTTTCGTATTGTCCGATACCCCCATTCCCGCTCTCTCTCTCTCTCTCTCTCTCTCTCTCTACAGAGTCCGATTGCGACTCAAATTCAATTCCACAGACGACGAAACTCGAAAGGTCCTGACTTCGCGCCAAAAGAAGCTCGAATTCACCAGCCGAGTCTTGCGAATCAGGAAACGCCACCAAAACACAACTCGCGAGCTCTAAATTTTCTAGAGAGAGAGAGAGATCTGAAAGTCCAATTCTAAACCTCTTTCCACGCGAACAGAACGCGGACAAGGACTCGCTGAGTTTCTACGTCGCGTTGTGTCGGAAATTTCCAATGGCTGTACGGTCCGAGGGATAATTCCCTGCTCGCTTTGTTCCCTTATCTAAACTACGTGGCGTCATCAGAGTCGTTTAATTAGGGGGCCAAGTTTTTACTTTGGACCCGATTTGCTGATCGGACGCCAATTAGAGGTCACGTAATAATAATTTTTTTTTTGGTATTTTATTTCTTTTTCATTTCACAATGTGGAAATTAATGTGGCTCAAGGTCAGTGGTCTTTATGACATTATCATAATTCATATTGGTTGGTAAATCGGCCTGCTTGTGAAATGACTAAAGTACCCTTCAAAGAGGATGCCTTTTCCCGCAATACTATGGTGGTAAAATAGTAATATGCATACCCGGTTTAGATTGGAAATTGTCAAGATATGGGATGCTAGTATTGCCGTTACGTGACAAGCTGGATGACAGCAAATGTACAAAAGGCTGGCTTCTTGTGCCTTCAAACTCTGTAAAATGTTTTATGACGTAAGCTTTTTTCGTTGGAAATGTTTCTGACGAAAGCTTTGTCATTAAAAAGGTAGCCCTTTTTTGAGAACATCGCTTTGGACGGTGGATAAAAAAGCTAAAAAGTGGAGAAAACATTTGGACAATGAAAGGGTGTCAAGGGAGGAGATTGCTACCGTAGATGTAGATGTGAATGATTATCAGTAATCACTCTACTCTTCAGTCTTCAGTATGGAAAGAGAAAAGGCTAGAGTAGTTTCTCGGGTTTTCTACGGTAGCAATCTATCGAATATTTGTCGATAAGTGCTCCATCAAATTTTTTTTGTCCATAACCTCAGACCAATCAATCGAATATTGATTAATACGTAATCGATCAAACACTACTTGAAAACGGCTCTTATACTCATAAATGAAATATTCTAAATGTTCCTGTAAATTCTTACTCTCATTGGACCATTTGTATCTATATGCATTAAGATCCTGATTCATGGATCAAATTATACAACACAGTCTTTTAACAAGAATAACTTTTTTTTTTTTGGGTGTGTGTGTAAAACTGAATATGTTTACTTAAAACTGATCGGTACTAAAAGGATCAGCCATGCCTATTTTATGTAAGTTTGTTTTATTTATGCTTAAAAAATCAGATACTTGCATATATCTCTATATATATTACACAATGCGGGATCAAACTCTGTCCTCTCAAATTCAAATTCCACCCTTCATGACTCTTGACGTAGTTGTTGGCGTACGTATGTATGTATGTATGTTTATGATAATGAAGTTTTACGTGGCTGAGATTATTGCAATATTTTTGACACCCGAACCTTGTATAAACAACCAAATGCCAACCCTTAATTCCACTAAAACAGAGCTCATTTTTTGCTTGCTGACCCTGGAGACAGGAATTCATTCACTGTTGGAGATGTGGAGTCTAATCAAAGGATAAAAACGTGAAGGAAAAAAAAAAGGGCATGGCATGGAGAGCAGCGGCCCTGGTTGTAGGGCGTCGCAGCGCTGGGAGGTCTGCAATTTGCAGATTCAAGCAGGAAGAACAGTGCCGCGGCACTGCACGGAGGATTTTTCGCAAAAAGTGGAGTTGCATGGGCACCGCAGTGCTGGGAAAGTACCACCGCGGCGCCAGTTCGGGCTTTTTGATATACTAGCCTTTTTTCTTCTATTTTCTTGTACACTAATAGAGTAATTCCCACTAATCATTTTTACACACATTTTTTTAAAAACAGCCTCGCAGCGCTGCTGAATAAGCGTTGCGGCACTATGCTGAGGAATGTTCTCACTAATTATTTTTACTCACATTTAAAAAAAAAAAAAAAAAAAAGACTCATACTTTTGATAATGTACTCAAACCGGTTCAAACTTTATTCTATGTTTAAAAATTACACTACTTAACGCCAGTTCAAATCATATAAAACCAATATATAACCACAAAGCAAAAGAGTCATGTAAATACCTATAGTCCGAGTTTTTTATAAGTAACTAAATTGATGAACCTGTATTAAAATTCTTAATGTGATTGTGCTTTTGTTTTAGTTTTTGCTATTTTTCATTCTCCGCTCTCGATATTTGAATTAGGTTTTGTCTAATTTTCCATTCACGACTTCTCTGTGTCTTTCTGATTTTGAATCAATCTTAACTTAAATGCCAATACTCATGGAACACAAGTTTCTTCCCCTCCCAAGGCCCAAATATGTTTTACAGTTGAGGTAAGAGAACTTTGGGGATTCTTTTCGGTGGAACCTCAATAAATGCTCTATTGATGGAACACTTCTTTTTTAACTGTTTAATCATATCCGTATTAAAAATTTATAACGCGTTTTATAAAATTGCTCTTACTGCAAATTTGAAAGTAATATAACGGTAACAAAAATAGTGCTCTACTGGTGGAACACGAGGTTCCACCATAAAGGTTTCATAATTTTTTGGTTTCTTATATCTTAGTTCCAACCAACTACCTAGCTAGTCTTTTGACTGGCCACAGATGCTTCATTTGTTATTGAATGTTTAGAAAGTTGGTGCGCTCATTAATAAACTTCGTCCGATATGTCATTCTTAGATTTTTATTAAAACGTATTTAGGTCTTTCAATTATTGAAGGGTTTATTTTCAATTGATTTTTGTGCACTTGGAAATATACTTTCCACTCTAGATAAAGAGGCAAGCAAAATACAATCGAGCACGACAGGAAAGAACGCCAAAATAAACAACATAAAACGACGAAGAGAATGAGTAGCAATACAAACATGGAACACGATTGAGTCGGTCATAAACGAAAGCGTAGTGCAAATATTTTCAACACCATTAACTGATCCATTGAGGAAACTCCTGCATAAGATGGTTTGTGCAAGTTCTGTTTTTGCTAATACGGTTGCTATACTATACAATGTTTTAAGGAAGCTTGCTTTTTTATCTTTATATATATATATATATATAATGCCTGGTATATTTTTAGCCAACACATCAAAGGTGCAATAAGTAGTCACTAGCAAAGATATACATGGCTCCAGTGATGGAAGAAAACAGCCCCATTTTTTTAAGCACTCTTCTTAACCCATTAGTATAAGTATGTGATGCAAAAATACTATCCGCAATTCCAACTTTGCTATAATAAGTATTCCAATCCCTGACTAGTACATAACAAAAACCAAAACAAAAAAAGATCTTTTTGGCAAAAGTAAATCCTAATCTAGCCCCAACTTAGTTTTCCAAGGAAATAATGAAACGGAGATGGCAATGAATAACTTCTCAATTCTCAACATCAGGTAAAGAAATATCAATATCAAATATGAAATGGATTTATAGTTCCAAAGAGCAACTAAAGAGAATCACAAAAATCACATGCAAACAAACAATAAAAGAGAAACATGAGTGACCTCAAAAAAAATCAAGACCACACCCCGAAGATTTTTTGGGCAAGGCATGGCCTCAAACAAATTATTATACCAAAACCCCTGACCCACAAAAGGACAAACATGATCACAATGAGCATGCAGCACCCACACCAGCGATGGTGGCGCGCCACGTCTCAATATGGCATCATCAACCATGGCAGATTCATTGGTTAATAAAGATATTGGTCAATTTCTTTTCCATTTCCTTTCACTCAATTTCAGTACCAAAAAAACAGCAACAAAATCGCCACCCTCCACGCAAAAATCTATCATCAATATATCACTACAAAGACAAAAACGTATTTTCCTTTTGAATCCAATTTTGTTAATAGTCGAACTGAATCAAAAAGCAACTAGTAGCAGTAAAACAGAGCAAGCAATTATAATAAATACATATTTCAGAAAAGGGCCTATTTTTTATTTAAAAGATAGCTTGTTTGGATCATAATAAGAGTCTCAGAAACCAGCAAACAAAGCTAACAGAGGCAATAATAAACAGACAAAGTATCCAACCATTCGATATAACCACTGTCACATCCCAAAAGAGTAGAGACAATAACATAACTAAAACACCGAAATTAGACACCTATTAGCAGAAGAAAATACTTTTTCCAAACAGATACATAAATCTAAGAGAGTTGGCCACTGTCGGCGATCACCACGGGCTTAGAGACCCTGCCGGAGCTGGACCCCACCTTCTCCGCCGCTTTCACGACGTCGTAGCCCTCGACGACCTTCCCGAACACCACGTGCTTGCCGTCGAGCCACTCGGTCTTGGCCGTGCAGATGAAGAACTGAGATCCGTTGGTCCCGGGGCCAGCGTTCGCCATGGAGAGGATGCCAGGGCCGGTGTGCTTCTTGATGAAGTTCTCGTCGGCGAACTTGGAGCCGTAGATCGACTCGCCGCCAGTGCCGTTTCCGGCGGTGAAGTCGCCGCCCTGGCACATGAACCCGGGGATCACACGGTGGAAGGACGATCCCTTGTAGTGGAGAGGCTTTCCGCTCCGTCCGATTCCCTTCTCTCCGGTGCAGAGGGCGCGGAAGTTCTCGGCCGTGCGGGGGGTGACGTCGGCGTAGAGCTCAATCACGATCCGGCCAACAGGTTGGCCGCCGATCGCGATGTCGAAGAAGACCTTAGGGTTTGCCGCCATTGATGAGGAATTTTCGAGGTTTTTTTATCACTGAAAATGAGAAATGGCTAAGGAGCAGACTTGCTAGGGCTTGAGGCGAAGGCGTGGACGACGAGGTTATATAGAGGTCATCGCTGCGAATATCAATGGAAGTTTTATTTTCAACCGTCCGATTCAAACATGTGGCGTGATCCAACGGAGTTATGGTAACCGTGGTTAGGTTTGGGTTTTGACCAGGGTTAGGTTTTAGGATCCGAGGACATGCGGGTCACTCTTTAGATAGAGTTTGGGAAGAGATAAAACGACGCCGTTTATAAGCAGTTGTCGGGCTTAATTAACTGCGTGGGCCCACATATTTAATATTAAAATAAATAAATACAGAGATGGTGCAGTTTTTGTCACAAACATGTCGTACTCTCTTTTACTGAAAAGCTGATAATTGATTGGCTCTGCCTTTGGTGGGCCCCGGGGAGTCAGATCCAACGGCTATGTTTCAACGGAGTGTTGCTGAAGAAGCCCCCAAAAGATCTGCTTTTTCGGATCATGGTCTTCGTAGTCAATAATATCAAAATGCTTTTTTTTTTTTCCCTTTGAAATGCTTTTTTTTCTAAACATTATTTTTGATATCAAATGCTTTGTTCACCTAATGTGCCACACGAGAACCGGATATAATACTTGTTCAAATTACAGTTTTAATAGAGAATTAAAATGTGATTGTTCATTTTTTTACTTTCTTTATTTATTATTTGAAAAAAAAACTGAAAGAAAAAAGAAACGAGAAAAATCCTTCTAAAAATAAAAGAAAAAAGAAAAGAAAGAAAAAAAAAAGAAGTCGAAGAAAAGAAAGAAAAAAAAGAAGTCATAATTTTGAGACATTTTTTATTATATTCTGAACACAGAAGTATGAATGCTATATTATTTTTATTATTATTATTTTATGGATCATTAAGTGGAATAATAAACTTTTCATCCTAAATTAAAGAGAGGAATTCAAATTTTAAAAGGTGAAAAAGAAATATTAAGAGAAAGCTCATTATTCTCTTAAGTGCTGTTGATAAATAGATTAGATTTATAAAACGTTTGGTTTATAAATTAAAATTATGTGATTAAAATTATTTTTAATTTACGTGTATTTTTTATAAAAAAAATATTATAATAAATCATAAATTATAATTTAAATTATGATTTAAATTTTTTTAATCAAACACATTCTTCTCTAATGGTGATCTCAACCCTTGTTAATGACAAATGAAACATTATTCGTTTTTTTTTTTTTTTAAAAGGGGGAAATGAATAGTGAAACCTTAAACGAAGATTAATAAGAAAAGGACAAGAAAAGCAGCATAGAATACCTTGGTAACGTTGCTTTTCAGAGTATAGGGTACCCCTAATTGGTATCCTACTATGTTGCGTCATGATTGAGATATCTGATAGAACATTGAGGGACCTGCTGCTTGCTGCTGTATGAAATATTAAAGTTTTTTTTTTTTACTTATTTAAATTTTTATAGTTAAATTTCTTTTAAAAAATATCACGTATATATTTAAATTAAAAACTTAAATTTATAAAATAGACTAGACTTAAAAAAGCTAATCAATGATTGTGTCTATTTCATTACCAACTCCATGTGCCTCTCCCGGGGCCAAAAAAAAAAAAAGAACAGTAATTTCACGTATTTTACTAGCTTCTCAACTCTATAGTTATGTATTTCTATCCAAAAAGAAAAAACTCTTTAGTTATAAATAATAGGCTCGGGCTTTGTATTGGAAGGAAGCTTACATTGAGTTCAAACTATAATTCATAATTTTAACTTTTAAAATTTAAATTTTTTATGAAAAAATTACTATAAAAACTTAAAAATCATAGTTTGTTTCCGTGCAGTAAAACCAAGAAACATAATTAGTACCATATAAAACCCTTAAAATAAGCATCACTTCTTTAATTGAAAGATGCTTTTAAAATTCCATCAACAAAATAATATATAATTTTTCTCATGATAATAATAATAATAAATAAATACTCTTATACGCTTAACGTATCAATAAATTATATTATTTAATCATTAAATTTACATATTTTTAATTTTTATGTAATTTTATACAAATTTAATAAATAAAAAACTTAACATATCAATATATTTACTTACTGAAAAAAGTCCCTACTAATAATGATAATGCATGAAAAACAAAATGCAGATGCTGATAAATGAAATCTAAAGAAAAAAAGTCCCAATTATAAAATAAAATAAAAGATGAAGCAGTCAATGCAATTATTATTTAATATACAAGCCAACAAGACTCACAGCTCCCACTAGAAATATAATACTAAAAAAATTTAGCATCGGGCCCCTCAACGAGAGAAATAAAAATAAAAATCATTTTCGAAGACAATGGCGATCACGCGTGGCCATAAAATTCAAAAATCATCTCCCCAATTGCAGTTGGATATATCTTTAGTCCAAAGGAACTATCGCTTTTGGAATCGCACAAAGAATGGCCAAGAGCAAAACGCCACAATTATACAAAGTTATTAGGAATATTTGTTTTTTGTTTTTTTGTTTTTTGTTTTATTTTTACTAAAGCATACACAAAGGTCTCGACTCTTGATCATGTTGAAAATTTGAAATTCCTAAATAATTTCCCAATTTTCTTCAGAATCACAAAAGCTCCTCCGTTTGTAACAATCCGGGATAGACAAATGATATCATCTGTTTCAAGGACTTGACTGAGACTTTCAGAAAAGCATGGCCTTCAGTCGCTGTAAAACATTGAACCAAGAAAGTAATTAGAATCTACTTGTCATTGCCATCTTTAGCCATAAAGAGAAGTGGAACAAAGAAAGAGAAAATGACATAAAAGATCGTTACCTCTTATCAACTTCTTGACTTCCTTTGAAAAATCTTCGACACGTCCTAACACGGGTCTCATGCCACATATCTGTAGGACGCAGAGTTCCAAGTGCAGGGCCATCTCCATTATTTGCATTAGTAAGCAACATGTACTTTGGACTTCCTTTGGAATCTGCTTCAATTTGTTGGCCTCACATAGCTCAGAAACAATGCTGATCGCTTGATCCTGCACGAGATCGAATTGTGTATTTGTAAAGATAGAAAAACGGTACCTTTCAACTTGTGTCTTGAGTTTCAAGAAACAAATTGCTAACACAAAGATTAATGACAGATTCCTAACATACCAAAAAGGGGTCTTGCAAAAAGAATATACACGTATATTACTCTCTACCTGTAAGCCGTGTAAAATATCAGGCATTGGAAGCTCTGGAAAATGGGCAAGATCAACGTAACCCACCTCCTCCGCCCTTCTAACAGCACTGCCAGCTTGCAAACACAGAAACTTCAAAAGCAGAAACGTAATTCTGTATATCTGCAGAGCAACAATGTCAGAAAAGTACGTTTGAGAAACATTATCCCCATTTTCAGCTGCTTGGCTTCTAACTATCAGAGCCGTAGATGTGGAGACGGTTGATAATTTTGGTTTTGATGCACAGCCAAGAGGTGAGAGAGAAAACCATCCATTTCTGCTGTTGATAAATGGTGGTTCATTGCAGAAATCAAACTCCTCTTTGAGGACAGGAGGACACAAGAGTGGGGCAGTGGCACTGGAAGAGTCTCCTAAACGTTGCGTTCCCTTGCTAATGAAAGCTAAAAGATGGATACTTTGTTCTCTCAGATGGGAATCCATTTCTTTCATGGACTTAACCCATGAATTCCAATGTCTTGCCAGTACACACATAAGAATGACGGTATGCTCAGTTCCCTTGAGAACTGTTAGAGAAGTTTCTGTTCTTTGAGCCCTAGGTCTTTTCTTGTCATGATCATCAGATGGAAAGTCAGGTGCACTGAGATAATAAGAAATTATATACGCTTTCTCTGAAAACAAGTACGGTATCACATTATCCAATATATCCCTACATGAAGAACTGTCACCTAAAGACTGAACCATAGCTGTGATGACAGCCAAAGAAAGTCCCCAGATTTGTTGAGGGTTCTCTATTTTGTCAGAAGAGATGGAGAATGGTCTGCCATCCAAGTATTCTGAAATCAAGAATCTTAAAGATGAGAGAAACCCATAATTAACAAGCATCTCAGCACCTTCTCTCACACGAGCGAGGGTCAAGAAGAACTTCATGACTATAGGGAGCAATGCAAGAGAATTCTTATCCCGAAGCATCAGAATAGCATAATGCAGCCGGAGGTTATTCTGTATGATTGGGAACCACGAATTGGGCGTCAAGAAACTTCTCAGTATCAAGTCCATGGTTGTCAGGGAGAGGGTGCAGCTATCAGCCGTATCAAGACAGTTGCAGAGAATGGGTAGTAGCCCTAGACACACATTAGAAATTTTAGCCGTGTCTTCAACAGATTCCTTATCAGTCACCCCACCAGAACCTGAACCCAGACAACTAAACTCCACTGTTGAGAGAAGCAATAAAAGTAATATCTTTATCGTTACATTAACTTCAGCCGCTGATGGCCTTAGGTCGGTCAGTACTCTAAGACCAGAACCAAATGTTTTTAACACACGTAAGCAAACAGATAAATTGAGAATTTTACGAGCAGATCTCATGAGAAACAGAAGTAATTCTGCTTGGGATGAGAGAAAACGAAAGGTATCTTCAGAACCACCACCCATAAATGGAGCTATTGATTCTACTGTGCCGTGAAAGCACTCACATATGTGATCTATACATGGTACAACTGTGGCATTTTCCTCGAGCAACTGCAATAGCAAATAAAAAGGTAAGATATATGCTATTTGCAAAATCAAAAATAAAGAAACGTAGGTGTCCTTGCAAAATGAAATCAAATAAGGAAAATGTAGTATGCATAGGCACAAGGCAGCAACAACTAGGGAACATACTTTGAATTGTTCTATAAAAGAGATTCAAGATCATACAGAAATTGTTCTACAATAACCAACGCTATACAAAATAAACAATATAACAGCGCCTACATTCACTGCAATAAACCGAAACTTGAGAATTTCCAAAAGAATGAATGGATGATACACTTTTACTGGTTACTGATATTGGCAGATTATGAATAGACTATGATGTGATGTATTACTTATTTTTCTTTTTCTTTTTACATGTTGATTTTACAACATGATTAAAATGGAAACTCACTTCCCCAAAATTTTGGTCAACCTCAAAAATGTGAAAAAGCAGCAGCAGACCCTAAATTTAACAATCAAAGGCAATCAGATTTAGAGAACTCACATCTTTCCCATTGATGGTTAACATGGTTATTAATGATCTCAATGCAGAAAGCTTTGAACTTCTAACCAACACCATAGAATTTGCCTCCGTCATGTGACACAACAATCTTTCTGCAATTGCTTTCGATGTTTTCCACTTTAAATAATCCCAAAGATCTGATCCCAAATCAGCTCGTACACGCTCAGTGTCAAACATATACATATCTTTGCAAGTTAAAAAAAAGTCGCTGTCATACTTATGCTGGTAGTGCAGCAAAACTTTTGATTCGATCAGGTACCCAGAAAGTTCTTTGAATGGTCCAGCACTGATTTTACGACCTTCCAGCTCTCCTTCTAGATGATAATAAAGATCAGTGAGTAGCAAACTATTGAGTTCCTTCCCTTCACTAAAACCAGAAAAAAAAAAAATTATTAAATCATATAAGCATGGGGATACAACAATGTTCAAAAAGCCAATAATTATAAGCAGATGAAATGCGCAAAAGCTTTGAGTTCTAAAAACAAGTAACGCAAGCTGGATTCACCTATTTGAATAATTCATGTCAATGCTTATCCAAGAATTTGAAGACAGACAAGTTCAAGAAAACACATTTCACAGGCAATGTAAATCACATGTTAACAAAATCATACATTTAACATGGCTCCGGTCCAGTTCACTCCCCTTAACTTCCTCCTCGTGCACGTGGATAGAGGAAAAGGAAAGATGCCACGTTATCAGAAAACAGAGAGCGAATATGATAATGATACCATACAGAAATTTAATCTATACACCCAAATATATATTTATATTTTGGACAGCGACTATCTAGTTAACTTGGAAACTTATCATCAACTCATAAAACAGCACACTTGTATGCATAATACAAGAAATAATAGATGAAGATTACCTATAACCACGCTGTGAATATTGCAACAATAATTCAGAGAAAGCAGGATGACTTCTAAGCTGCAAACGTGAGAAAGATAAAATTAACAGATTTTACAAGTTCCAGTTAATAAATTAATTAAAGTCTTCAAAGAGTTCAACAATTTTACAGCTAATTTAGGACAGACTTTATTCTGAACTATTTACCTAGATGAAATTAGCCAATTTTATGAGGGACAGGAGCAAACCTTATTAGACATGGTGGTGATCTTTTGAAGTGTTGATACAGACAAACTTCCTGCATCACCAGCTGTTAATTTTGCAATCAAATGCACTGTGACTAAACTTGCTGCAACCTGCAAAGTTATAGTATACGTGTTTAGCCTCCATAGAATGACAATAAACAAGCTATATTTAAAACTAAAATAAGCTATGCAGAGTGTCAACCACATAAATAAGCCATTTCTCAAGCAGTCGGAACATGCACATATAATTTGTTTTTTTTTTTTAGTTGGTAATTTTAACCAAATTATTTCACCTCCTTCGATCCCATTTTCTTGACAGAAATAAAAATAAAATAATAAAATAAAAAAAGGAGAAGACAAAACCACGAATTGCATTTAGATCTGCAACAGATTTTCAATTTACATGTTTATATTATTATATAGTACAATAATTCTATTTTTGAAATCTGTTGCAGTTTGAATTTACGTATCTCTTTAACTTTTTGTCCTCTTGTGTTCCTTTGATCTCTTTTTCTTCCTAAATGAAGTCGCGCGCGTGCACACACACGCAGACATAGATACACACACACACAGACATAGATACACAGATACACAAACACACATGTACAATATGCATGTATGTACATACTTCCGTAAAAAGAAAAGAAAAGGGATCTAAATGGTCACCTTTGCACGATAAAATGAATCATCACTATAATCATAACAAGTAAGTAACTTGGTGAGGTTGATTAAGACAGAGCTCTGGCACCACGTTGTAAAAATATCTTTAAGACCAGATAGATTTGCAGCCTTTGAATTCTCAGTGCTTAGTGGAGTCTCTTCCCTTCCCCTTGACTCTGGAGCGTGTTTTGCGAGTGACTCCACGGGTAACAATTTTTTCTGCAGAAATATGTCGAACGCCATTATTTCCATTATGGCAGACTGACACTGATACCTGTATACCAGATTTTGAGCTTCCATCTCAGACAGGCCATCAGGTGAAGGAGAATCCACGCCAGAAGTTTGTGAAAGGGAGCTGGATAATTGCTTCCAGAAATTTTCAGAGCCTTTCAGCCTCTCCAATATATTAAAATATTGAGCAGCCCGTTGCCACAATGCCTTGAAGAAATTAATTATGCTAAGCAGCAAATTGGGTTTGCTGGAAGGAAGAATTAAAAAAAAAATCAAAATATGTAACCAGATAAAAATGCCATCACTACAAATTTGCTAGAAAATAATTGTGAAAGGAAATTTGACTTGGTTAAAAAAAATCCAATCTTAGGATATCTTTAAGAGAACATACTTATTAATAAGATTGCTAGGATCCGCAATATAACGCAGTAATGTATTGATAGGATTTGTAGTTTTAGACTCTACTGGCCCAGAGTAATTCTCAATTGTTGGCAGTTTCACACCATCACTATTACTCAGTTGGACATCCATATACTCTTTGGAGGCAAATACAGCAACAAAGAAAGCAGGCTGTACAAAAACAAATTTCAATATAGACACTTCAGGAGAAATCTCAAAATAGAACCAGAGGAAACAAATGTAATATTTTAATTGTTCACTTTTAAGGAAATTCCGACATCCAAAAAAAAAAGCAAAAAAAACTGTGACAAACCTGATGACGAGCAGTGGCAGTGAGGAGAGTGACTGTAGCTACAAATAGATCTTCATTTCCTGCTGCCTGCTCCCGTCTTATATAGCTAACAGAATGCTTCAAGTCTCTAACCTAAATATTATGGTAATTAAAAGAAAAAAATAAAATTAGAACCAAAACAGATCAGTCATTTTAATTTACAAGTTTGATAAATGGGTAAGTAAAAAACATTAGTTCAAACACAGCAAACCTGTTTATCATCCAGACCGAAGCTACTTGCAGAAAAATATGGTGGCAAGAAATCTGCTATCATCAATAGCATTGATAACACCTTAGCAGCACCTATTTGTATGACCTGCAAAGATTACTTGAAACAGCTTAGTAAAGATGCCAAACAAAAGAATAGCCATCGCTCTGCATATAGCATCAGGAGAAAAAATAAAATAAAATAAATAATAAAGCCAAAAGCATATGAGGGTTCTGAGCAAAAAATAATCGCCAGGCACAAGTTTGTCCAATGCATGTGTTCAAAACTACACAGTACACACATCAATGATAAAGAAAAGCTTGTACTAGATAGAATTTTCAATCAGATTTTCAATTGGCAATTAGATCCAAATGTGTGTGCGATGTATTATTCCATGTTTCCACAAAGGGGCATGTCGAATAAAGGCTCGAACCTTCTATTTCTAGTGACTAACATCAACAATCAGAGGAACAGTGCATAAAAGAATAGTCAACCAACCATGTGCTACAATATAAGCTCGTTAGCAAAGCCAAAAAAGAAAATGCTCACACGGACACACTCATTTCAAGTCTTGTTCAATCAACAAAAATACTCTTCCAATGATACGGCTAAGAAATATAAAATTACTTCCAACTTTGAGTGTGGAGAGAGTCCATACAGGATAACGAAAATAAGATATCAAGGATGAAACAGCAGCAACTACAGAGATTGGTTTGGTCGCTGAAGACAGTACTGACTGGAGAAAGATGGGAAGGTTGGAAGACGTATCCTGGAATGTTAACAAAATGAAACATTAGCTCTTGTAATTGAAAAATTGTGGATCATAGAATTAACCAAAATTCTAGAAAGAGGAATATGTATGAATTTGATTCAAATTTTGGCCACACAAATTTCGATGATCACAACAATTAGCTATATCTCCAAGACTGGCAACATTCTGTGCTAGTTCAAAAGCTTTCCAACATAGGATGTGACTCAAAAATGTATAACATATATATATTTTTCCTTTTGTTTCTTTCTTAACTTACCTTAGAAAACTTGCGAAGCATGTCAAATAGAATATCCAAAGCAGAACAGATAGCAAGCGATAAACCTTCGATCTCCATTACATCAAAGAGACGGCTAACATAAAGTGTCTGCAAGAAAAGGAGAAGAAGAATAAGGAAAAAAATGACCAAGTGAAGAAAACAAAACTAAAAAGCAGCGTGACAGAAAAGAAGCAGTACTCAAACCTCCAGTTCTTGTGAAGTTGTGCAAACAATTCGAAAAAGAGTACTGTGGATTGAAGAATCAGAAAGTAACATATCCCAGATGACCTCGCCCAGCTTTTCAGCATGTGATGTTAACATAATGCCTTTTTTAACCAGTTCAAGCACCTAAACAGATAAAAACAGAGTCAGAAACTGACCTTTGAAACACAACCTATATGCAGGATATTGATCTCCAATGCTCAGAATTATATTCAGCTGGATTCATAATGAATGAGACCAGATGAGACCAAGCAAGCATAAAAGCTAGTGTAAATTAGCCCTAATATAAAACATTTTTCCAGTAAGTCAGAGAATAAAATTTTCTCACATGCTAACAACAATATTATGACCATAAAACTGTAAATTTATGTTACTTTTTATGATTACTTAAAATAAGAAAAGAAACAAAGATATAGTTAACTGGTCAATATATTTACTTCTCGAGGTGGAAAGCATTTGTTCTCTACTTATTCTATACTATTTGGGACGGGCTATCTTAGGGCAATTTTCCCCCATGCATTCCTTCAGTCATAGCACAATTATTTTGGTCAGCATTTAAGCTACTCATTTAAGCTACTCAATGATGGGGAATATATACATACACACACACACTATATGATAATAAACATAGGTTCATAATCTTCTACTACAATGAAAATCAATCAAATGGGTCTTTGTTTTTCCTAGGAGAGAGAGTGGCAGCATAGTAGAAATCAAAGGTGTACCTTCAACGTTATTCTCCAGCGAGTATGCTTCACCCTATATTTCCAGTATTCATGGTTTGCAAGAACATACTGCAAAGAGAAAACAATTAATGCAATGACAGTATCATTTTCAAATCCTGTTTCCATCAGCTGCATGGTGAAGTCCAGCACTGCAAAATTTTAAATTATAATCTTAAGACACCTGACATTGATGGTCTGTACATTGTCAGAGCAAAATAGAGCAGAGTTCTTTAAAAAAGGACAAACAAACAAAACGAAACAAAACATTTGCACAATACGTTTCCGTTGCATTTGCCAATATGTATGCAAACAACCAACAAACACCCAAACATTAAACAAGAAAATGAAAATAAGCACCGTTTGCTTACAAGAGCATTATCCATAGAAGCATGCAGTAAAATTATTAACAAAAAAGAGAGAGAAAATGGAAGCATGCAACAAAAAGGCAACTTCTTAACATATACCTGCTGTTGTCAAGAGACAGTTATTATCATTCTGCTCACAGTCGAGCAATAGCATTTTTGCCAATTTTCCAGAAAGCAACCATGATCTGCTAGAGAAACAAAGGATAAAGATTAGAGCAGAAATATTACTAATCATAGATGCACATAGTACAGTTCTTAAATATGCCAAGAGAAAGGAAGCACACAATTAAAAGAAAATAAATTACTAACAACAAATTCCCTCTGCTACTGCAAAAAGATGTCATAAAGCAAAGTGAAGAAAGACTTCATGTATCGTCATACAAATTACATATCAAACATTGCTCAAAGTCGCCACAAAATCAGGATCATATATAGAACACAACGCAAGTCTTTTGAACTAAAGGTTTTACCTGGAAGAACCCTTATAGCCAGCATCGAAAATACTTGTCTTTAGGGCAACATCAAAAATATTTGCGTTAACAACTGCTGCAGCAACGTAAGAAGGGCAACTGGCCAAAAACCAAAAGTATAACACTTAATCAATCATATCAATCTTAAGCATATAGCAGCGATCAGAATGCATATAAATACCCCTAAAATCTGGGGTTAAAAGAATTCAAACATTTCTTATAAACAGAGATTGGCAAGTGGAAAAGCATAAGGATGTCTTTCAACAAAATCGCCTTTAATCAATAGCAAAAGCAAGGATATGATGTCCTCTATTAACCTGAACTAATAGCCATTTACAAATAACATCAGATTTCAGAATCTCACGAATTTTACTAACAGGGCTGGATGGGACTTAACTACAAAAATCTCGCGCAATCGTAACACTGCAACTACCAATTAACTACAAAAATCTCGCACAATCTCACGCAAACTTCGGGTGGCAAAGAGACATAGATAAATTTTACAAGTAACTACAGCATACAACAGAAAATATACTACCAAAAATTATCAGAAAAAAAAAAATCAAAGAGTTACCATTTCAACATCTTCGCCAAGATATTGACACCCATGGCCATTACAGCAGCACTAGTAGAATTTGGAGGTAACTTTCTGAGCAAAGTGCAGATGATCTCAACCACCCTGGAGTAGAAGATAAGATACAATGAATACTAGTATAGCAAGAAACAACGTAAGACAGTGTCGGTGGAGAAAGCAGAGTCTAAGTGATTACCAAATTCTATTTTCCAAGTGCTCACCCTCAGCAGTTGCTTGAATGTGCAATGAAATGCCAACGTTCATTAAAGCAAAACACACAGCCTGAAAGATAAAGCAAAAAATTATCAATAGAGGAAAAAAGCCTGGAAGTTAATAAAATCAAAAGTTCTAAAAGACTCAAGCAAACCCATCCTTGGGGAAAAAAGAAAAAGAAACTAAATTACAATTTAAACCACTTAACGCACTGGTGATTCCCTGTCGTGCCAGTTGCCCCCACACTTGTTTGGAAATTTAATAAAATCTTAATCAGCAAAATTTAACAGAACATAATGCCAAGAAACTAGCTTTAAACAACAAGATTCCAATAGTAAAATTTAGCACATCCAATTAGTATAAGCAAACATGATTAGTTTTCAGTATAAATTAAGTATAAAAAAAAAAAAAAAAAAAATTTATATTAGAACACTTTCTTTTTACTTATGAAAAATCAATTCCAAAGGAAAGAGAATGAGGAATCCTCTTAAAGCAGAAACAAGAAAATAAAACATAACAGGAAAAACAAAACAAAAAGAAGGCTTAAAAGCTAACAAAACAATTAACTCCCAATACATCCTTCCAGTTTAACACTAGTAGAGACAAAGGAAAATCCAGAAAGTTTTATCTGTCGAAGCCCACAACAAAGCTGAAAGTAACAATTCAAATTTATGAAAGTAAAAAATTAAAATTAACATAAAAGAAAGGCTATGTTTTACCTCGTTAAAGGATACCATTCGATTAAGCAGATCAAGAGTAAGCAAAACTTCCTCATTGGCATCTATGTACAGCTCCTGGGCTAGACGCATGAGCAACACAAGCACCCCAGAATGTGTATACTATAGGAAAGATGAATGCTTTTAGCATGGAAAAGTTATTAATGATAACACATATTTGAGCTAAATATATTATAATGTATTAAAATTTCTCTGTTCATGGATAGAAAAGAAAGAGAAAGAAACTTAACCACACCCTACAAACTTGAGAAATCTATCCAATAACCAATGTATAAAGAACACAAACATGGGAAAAAGAAACACTCATCAAGTCAAATTTAAGATGCATTCCGTTGATGATGCAAGAGAACCTGTCTTGTCATTCAATATAACAACGAATATAGTGCTATAAGAAAGAGAAATAAAAAATAAAAGATAATGCGGTTACACATTTACCTCCCATCGTACAAGAGCAGTTTTTTCCCCAACTAATTTCAAAATATGTCCACGACTGTTAATGGGAATCATCAAACCTTCAAGACCAGGAATGCAAAGTGGGATGCGCGTTTGAACAATTTGGGACGTGGGATCCACCAAGGAATCATTAGTAATCTCAAACAAGGTTGAAATGCCCACTGACTTGTCTAGAAAGCTATACCTGTTTACATGAAGAATACTTTGTATAAGTAAAAGGAACAAGTGTAGATATTATTTGAAGCGTAGCAAGGGACAATACCATTGTAAATCATATTAACAAACAACCTTGAAAAGGAGTCTTGAACAATATCAGATAATTTATACAATAAACTATGAAAACCATTGGCACAACAACATGGAGTCTGACACACTCCAAGTCTCCAAATAGTATTGCACACGATGGCATGAATTTGAAGCCGAAGAGATAACCAAGATAAGAATATGACTTACACACACTCTGCTGGCCAAGTTCCTTCAGATAGGGATGATAAAAGGCGAATTAGTTCAACCGTCCTGAAGGGGAATTCACCCTCTAAGTTGCAAAGAAGACATCGGAGAGGGCCATCAATAAAACTTTCTCTGTCCCAAAACTGAATGCAAAGCGACTCCTGAAAAATCAAAGAGCAATATTATCGAATAAGAAAACTATGAAACATGGAACAACTTAACAAGAGTATCAACAATCACAAAATCAATAGCAATAATCAATGAATGACCCTGAATGACAATCATTATGCATCCAAACCTCTCCCCGATAAACTTTGCAAAGAATATCCAATATCAAATTAAGGGTACTGTCTTCCAGCTGCAATAAGAACAGGATGAATCAGAAAGGAATAAACAAAGAAGACCTTAAATACTTTAAAGATGGTTAATATATTTACCTGAAGACTGATCTCGTAAGATGCAATAAATGCAGAAATAAAAGTTCTCAATACACTTCGGTAACCAGCAACAGGTCCCTTTAGGAAACAAACAAACCAAAACAAAAACATCATGGATTTGAAACTAGGAATTAGGAGAGAGACAAAAAAAGAACCACAAAAAAGAAAAAGTAAAACCCAACTTATCATACGACCAATAGCCTATGGCTGCATGGAAAAATCAAGAATAACTTACATCTGACTCATTTAATAAGTCACTCTGAAGGATTTCAAGAAAACATCTCAAAGATGCAGCTTCAAAAGCTTGACGAACATAACCAACATGATCAATTTCCTGGAGAATAAGATGAAAATTTAAATAAGAACATCATTTATAATAGTATTAACGGTTCAAAAAAAAAAAAAAAAAAAAACCACATACCGAAAGAACATTGTTTTCTTCTTTTCCTGGAAGCGATGAAATCAGGCAAAGAAAAACTGCCCATGTTAGAATTAGCGGGCCTGCTTCTTTGGTTTCAAAAGCATTAAAACTTGAAACTATAGCATCCATCTCTTGGACATCAGTCACAGAGAAATGAGAGGAAACCTGCCTGAGGAATAGGAGAAGTGCGGTGTGCAAAGGTAAATCTAAACAGTATAGATTCTTTTTTTTTTATATAGAAAAAGAATAAGGAACCGAGAGACCTCAAAAAAAGAAGAGAGATAACACTACAAAACATCTTTCCAGCTTAAAAATCACAAGTAGTATATTTTTGAATTCCTTGGAAAAGGACACCCTCAACAAAAAATAGACATACTTTTCTCTCATTATAGTTAAAAACAAAATAAAATAAATTGTAAGTTCATCCAAGAATAGAACCATATTATCATCAAATATTACAAGGTGAAATATAATAATTAGAAAAACACCTGAAAGGCATTTCATCACGGACCATCTGTAGAAGATTTTCCAGGTCCAGGGTTTCTATAAGGATAAGTAACAGCTGAATTTTGGCTTGATAAGAAGAATGTAGCGCTTCAGTTGAAATTTCTAGCTTTCTTAAGTTATATGACCCAGACAAGATTCCCTGGTGCATGAGAGTTTCGAGCAAGGATTAGCAGTAGAAAAGACTCAGGAAACACTTCCAAGAGAAGGATAACAAAGTACCTTAAAAAGCAAGCACAACTTTTTCCACCTCTCACCACTACAATGACAAAATGACTCGTAATAAGAAAGGAAAAGGATATCCAAAACCAGATTGTCTTCAACCAGCATCTCCTCAGCCCACAGGGTAAAAAGGTCAACATCCTAAGAATCAATTTCCTTCCTTTAGCTTAAATGTTGAATACATCAACTAAGATAAATGTAAAGAGGTGACCCTCAATTCTGTATTATTCACGTATTCATATTCTAGAACAAGAAAGGCTGCATAGCAAAATAATGTTCCGTAGTAAATATACCATTTGATCAGGGTGACTGGAGGACAAAAGATCTTCAATAACAGATATTAATTTTCCTTCTAAACCATCAGAAAAGAGCTTTGACGCCTCCTCCCAAATATCAGCATCTTTTTTCGAGCCATTACCTAAAGACACTGCATAAAGAGAACAATAAAATAAAGAAATGACCAACTTCTTATATTTGTCTATATATTCCACAACTTTTCAGAAAACCCCAAAGGTGTGAAAGGGCTCAATCGGCCAAGAAGTACTGAATAGGTTCGTCAGTCATGGTGGACTTACAAGCATGCATGACAATCCTCCTGGTGCATTTTAGCAGGCATTGTCGCTCGGTGTAGTACTGAAGCAATACCTGAATTAAAGCATAACAGTACAAAATAAGAAAATGTATCCGGAAAAAAGAGTATACCAAAGGGAATGGAAGAAAGCAACTAACCACATGAACAAATTCTTGAACTATAGAATCAAGAGCCACATTGTGATTCTCGACCGACCTTTCAACAAGAATATACGATTGAACCTCATCTAAACACTGTAACAAACAGGAAGCTAATTAATCAACTGATAAATACTAAAGAATGCAAAACTCAATAGCAATTTCTTGCATAAAAAAATAATTTGTACTCCACAAGAATTTCAGAATCCAAATTTTGCACGCTCATATAAACAATGAAAACAAAGATTCATAGAATTCAGAAAGTTCAATCACACAAAAACTATCTTTTTCGGAAAAATAGCAGCAAAATGAGAACGAGAACTCACCAACAAGGGACTAATTTCCAAAGCTTGTTCTTTCAATTCTGGCTGTATATTCAACTGGTGAGACCCGATTTTCAGTTGCTGCGAGTTCAAAGCCTCCTTCGACTTCTCGTTCGGAGGCTTGAAGCGAGAAACTGTGTCGACTAACCAATCGTGATTGTCCTTCAACTTCTTCGTCTGGAAAAAACCACCGAGAAAATTAGAAAACGTATACGCCGCATTTTTGTAGAGAGAGAAATGGAGAGAGGGAGAAGAGGTACCAGATTGGGTGGCAGGTCGGAGGAGAGAGAGGCATTTTCGAGTTCAGTGAGGAGGAGAGAGAAAGGGTCCCACCAAAGAGAGGGATCGACGGACTTAAGGTTCGCCATGGAAGGAGCTTGTGAAGCTTTTGCTCTGAAAGTTAAAACCCTTAGAAAGAGCGTTTTTTATTTTCGATATTTTGGCGCCCTTAAAGAGTTTGGCAGAAATTTTTCCGCAGGGCTGAGAGTGGGGGATCAGAGTAAAGTTAAAAGTGAAAATAAGAGGGACTTTGTTTTTCTTTTTTAATTGTATTTTTACGATTATGATTTACGATTGTTGTCGTCTTGTATTGTATATGTCGTTTTTAGTTAACTACGTGTTTAATAGTAATTGTGGTTTGTTAGGATTTTTTCTTTTTCGGCAAGATATTGTCGTTTTTACTAATTTTAGTCTTTTTGCTGCTTTAGGTGCCTGCCGTTTTTTATGCTCTTGTTTTTTTTTCAGGCCATAGTCGGTTTTGTATGTTATTGTTGTGTTTCGGATGTTTTTTATTATTTTTAAAGTGTTGTCGTTTTTAATATTTTATCAGACGTTTGGTTCATAGAACCATAATTTAAAATTATTCTCATTTTACGTGTGTTTTTTGTAAGAGAAAAATACTGTAAAGAATTATAAATTATGATTCAGAATCAGAGACGAATACAAGAAACAAACATCTCATTAATTGTTTAGGTTGATGTATTTAAATGTTGTTGACCACCCTTTTCGCTTGATTCTATAAGTCACCAACGTTTTCAAATGTAATCATCGAAATAATATTTTGCCTTCATAGATCTATTGTCGTTTTTTGCTTTGTTGTTTGTAAAGTTATCGTTGTGATGTAAGAGAATTTAATTACAGTGGTCGTTTATTCTATTGTATTGTCGTTTGTTTGATCAACTTAGCTTTAATTTTGTTATTTGTTTTCCTTATTTGTCTGGCACGTCATATGCCTTGGTAGTTATTTTATCATTGTTTTTAAGGTGTGCTCTAAATAACCACATTACTTATTGTAATAAGAAGGCTTAAATATTGACAAATTTAATATTTGGCCTGATCTACATTATTTGATATTTTACCCGCATTAATTATTATAATAGCGAGGCTTGAAAATTGACATATTGAACGTAAAGTTGTGTTTTTCTCAATATTTTTCGGAACTTCCCCCGTCCATTTGAATTGGTTTAGACTTTGACTGCATAATTTAGTATCAGAGCCACATTGGAGTCCATATGCATAAATGATTTAAGGAACGTTTAGTTTGAGGTTTTAAATTATGATTTGAATCATAATTCATAGTTAATTACAGTGTTTTTTCTCATAAAAAATACACGTAAATTAAAAATAATTCTAATCATATGATTATAATTCATAAACCAAACGTTTTCTTAATTTTTAAAGGACAATTGCAATAAGATAAACTAATGCAGTTATGAAAAACACAGAAACGCACATCTTCATTTAAAAAGACGCATTTGTGATGGGATAAAATAATATATTCCACGTCGACCAAAACTATATATATATATATATATATATATATATATTCAACAATTTTTTTTAAGATATTTTTAAGCGGGCTATAAATATCGTGATGGACATATTCTTTTTTCTCTCTCTCGCTCTCTCTTTTTTTTTATTAAAAAAAAAAAAAACCTTCAATTTCGAGCCTCATACTTTGTTAGGTAGGTGGGCATTGGCAACTGTATAATGTTGAGCCAAACTGGTTTTATAAATCATTGTTAAGTTAGGAAGTTCCACTTAATGGAACAAGAAATTACATGTTTTTTTTCTCAAATTTGAGTTTAGTACGTGAGAAAAAATACTATAATAAAAAAGTTAAATTTAAATTTTTGTGAGAGAAAATAGTATAGTAAAAAGTTTGAGTTGCAATTTGAGTTAGAAAAATAACTTCTAAACTAATTGCAACCCAAACCGATCTCGAGTAAATTATTTCTAACCTTTACATGTGACCCAAGTAGGAACAATCAGGATTAAAAAAGGGTTCATATATATTGCATGAATGAGGTGAAAATTACATCAAATTACAAAGGTCATATGCATTTGAGCTTGACATACATATAACCAATATGACCACATACACAAGAACAATCCCACACAGACCAACTCAATAATTAACAAATAAAACGGACACAACAATTCACTTCTCCCCTTATCCGATCTCTCTCTCTCTCTCTCTCTCTCTCTCTTTCACACACAAATATGTTCACCAATGTGCTTACTTCCGGATATTCTTTGAAGGCTTTATTCCTACTAACAGAAATTATTCCCACGCCAACTTTCATCACAGAAAAACGACATTATACCATGTACTTTAAGGAAAGAGCATATACTTATGGCACTTGCTAGAGCCTAGCTAATTTAAGGGTGGAGAGGATCATAAGATGGCACAGAAGGTGAGTATCCGATCTTGGGGTGGTTAAAATACTTGTGGTGGATCTTGGGGAAGAGAGGGTGGTGAGGTGGAAACTTTGGGGATGGTGGGAGGTGTTTGTAGATAGGGTGTTTGAAGAAAGGGTGTTTAGGCTTGTAAGTAGGGACCGGTGGCGGGAGAGGCTTCTTGTAGACAGGAACCGGGGGCGGGAGAGGCTTCTTGTAAACAGGAACTGGTGGTGGGAGCTCAGGCTTTTCCTTCTTGGGAGGGCATACCTCCTTTGGCTTAGGCTTAGGCTTAGGCTTAGGTTTGGGCTTAGGCTTTTCTTCCTTTGGAGGGGATGGTTCTTCCTTCTTTGGCGGAGGAATCTCTTTCTTGGGGGCTGGCACTGGTGGTGGAAGCTCCTTCTTTGGGGCAGGCGGCGGAAGCTCCACCTTCGGCGGGGCATGGAAGAATGGGTGCTTGTGGAAGTGGTGGTGCCAGAAGAATTCCGAAGCACATGTGATTGGTGAGAACTTGAGCTTGCCAGAGAGCCCAAATGTGTGTTTCTCATTGGTTTTGGATTGGGACACTATCTTGGAGGACTCTAGTCCATCATGGGAAGGGCATGGAGTGGAGGATGGGCTGTGGAGTTGTGCATAGCAGTCCTCCTTCAGCTCTCCTTCCTTTTTAAGGATGTCCTTTGGGAGGGACACTTTGAATTTCCCTTCCTCGTCGAGCTCGCCCGATCCTTGTGTTTTGAAGTGCCCATCTGCTGCCTTGCAGTCTATGGTTACACGAAGGCCTGCAGCTCAAAGTGGTGAACATCATCAGCTCAAAGAATTAACAAATCCAAAATGAGGGCCCCGATTATTTTATAGATTCGAACTACTGTTCAAAACTTTTTGCTACAGCATTTCTCTCACGAAATTTTATATCTCTATTCAAGCTTTTTTGTTCAAACCTATGAACCAAATGGGCTAGAGAATTTTCTTACATTTTTAAATCATTATGGTGTCCAAAAATTACTTGAATGATAAGTTGGAACTTGACTTGGTAATGAAAGATGAGAAGCAAGCAAAAATATGTGCAACAAAGTAATGCCATTTCAAGTCATGCAGCATATATTTGACACAATTTCTATGCATGACAAAAGAGTGAAAAAATACCATTTGATTGACCAAAAGAAAAAAGCACACACAGTTACAACATGAAGTTATTTTACCTGAAAAGGCTTGCTTTGTTTCGAAGTTGTTCTCAGCGCAGTCTGCGCATTCTCCGATCCCGACAACCTCGACTGTCTTGTCATCAGCATAGGCAAAGCTCACCGCCAAAGCCAGAGACAACGAGAAGCACAGAAGCGCTCCTCGGCACAGAGGAAGAATTCGCATTGGAAAATGCACCCAACAACTCCAGATAAACAAGAAAAACAAAGAGAGAATAGAAGAGGAACTCCTCTAGTGAGTTAACTTCTATTGCAAGGCACGAGTTTAGTGAGTCCTAGAAGCCTCATTATATAGTGATATTAGATGCAGTTTTTGATTTGATCTCACCGACACTGAATTAAGCACCTCACATGAGGTTAGTAACCCCTTTAGAGAGATGAAATGACCTTGATCTTTGAGAGTGAAAACGACAACAACGTGCTCTATGGCTTTCATCCACTATATGGACATTATCTTTCATTCAATGAGCTCCCAACTACACAGCTAAATATTTTTGGGATCTATCTTTATATGTCTAAACCTACTTACCAGCAGCAATCATTAATACCCTCGTTTTCAGAAAATAATAAAAATATATATAAAAAGAAAGGTTTAATTGGTGAGATTTTTCATGCATTTTGCATAACTGGCAAAAGGGTATGCTTATAATGATTATTTTAATGTCACAACATTTCTTTTCTTTTTTTTTTTATTGAATGGATTAGAATTTAGTCCTGAACAGTTGGGAAGTCCGCTAGGAGTAAGTATATACCAACAAAATGCATTTTGAATATCAAATTCACGTGAATCAACTGTATTTCGACCAAATTCTTATCTGTCTGTGTTGGTTATATACTAAATCTGCAAACTCATATGCTTATTTTTAGAAAATAGCAGAGTTGATCTCAACCAGAAATCTTTCCATGTTTTCCCTTGGGTTGAGCCGAGTGGTGGATTTAAAAATCTAGAAACTTCAAGCAAAAAAAGAAACATAAAACATCAATCAACTTTATGTCAAAAGGGCAATTGTGGGTTTCTAATCTTTTCCCAAAAAAAAAAAAAAAAAAAGAAAAAAAGTTTGGGAACTTCTGATGTTAGTCAACATAAAAGACTACATTAAGACTATAACAATACATGACAAGATCAAGGGCCCTATTTTTTGCTATTTAAAATAATGTTGAAAATTGAGGATGGTTAGGGCCACAATCCACCAAACTATTGGGATCTAGTTGCTAACTACATGTGAGCTCTGGTTAGTGTACAGTTTGCTACATAACAAGTCTTATTTTGAGCCAAAAATTAATTGTGCTTATATCATTTTCATTGCGTTCTCTTTCTCAAACCAGTTGTCTCAAAGGACCATTGGATCACATCCAAGAGTCAAGTGTTAGAGTGAATACAATGTTAACAAGTCTATATAATCACCCTTTTTGTCTTAATCATCAAGGAGATTTTCTGCAATACTAGGATGTTATTGTCCATCAGCATTCGCCATAAGTTGTTGTCAATCGTCATTTGAAGACTGAGATTAGTGATTACATCGTTCTTTTTTTTTTTTCCTTGTCACATAATTTTTTAAGGTCTTAATCTCATTTTGACGTCTAATTTTTTGGTAACAAATCACCTTTCCTTATTGGTTCTCATCTTAAGTCCATGCCATTAAATTTTCCTGTCTTTCTTTTCTCCTCCTCTTTTTTTTTTTTTTTTTCCCTTTCTATAATGTAATGTTTCCTGTGTATGTCATTAGTAGCTAAGCTTATGCAGTAGATAAAAAGCACTGGCCATATAGAGTGACCACACTTAAATGAAGGGTCCACAACTATAAATCACTCTTTCATGACATTTTAAATTGACAAGTCTTGAAAAGCTAAGATATGCCAAAAAGTAGTCAAAATGTTCCCACTTGCATGCATACATTATCAACCAATCACAGTAACTGTAAAGAATATAACAATAAACAAAAAGGTATTTAATTATGGCAGTGATTATTTCCATCACAAATCTTTAATGTGTCCTGAAATGATGGACATGCTTCTTTTGAGTTGGAATCACACAGTAGAGGTAACACCCTCACATACCTTGCATTTTCTACAGAATTTAATTGCAATTAATGGAGTATAAAAGTTTCAGTAAAACATGCAGAGCTGCACGGGCCTTGCCAACTCTCATTCCATTAACAATTTGTCAATAAGCAGTGGGCAGTGGATTCCAAATAATCCAAGGACACAGACTGAAAACAACAGAAGAGGCTTAAAAAAGAAAAGGAAACCGTTAAGCCCTTTTTGTTAATCAAAATAAAAAAGTACACAGAACTCTGTAACAGCTTAAAACAAAGACCTACTGGTAAAATATCTTTTCAAGCCATACCATAGAAATCCCCTTTTTGTTATTTCAAGTTTGATTAGGAGGAGGATTCCGCATAATTTTGGCACTAAACTGGGGTTTTGAGCTACTTTTGCTTCTATTGAAAGATTGATGTTGAGAGAAAGTAGCATTTGTCAATGTCTCCAAAACGCAGATAAAGCAAAACATTCCTACATCAAATCATCAATGCCTGCTGTTGGATTATTGGAGAAGAAATCTCTTATTAAAATGAAATTACTCCAAAACAAGAGAGCTAATTTAGATAAGCTTATATGGTGTGGCGTCGTTTTGGACAGGTCATGTTTCTCCATGACGTTTCAAACTCAAGATAATGACACAGTCACACACGAAATTATGCACCTCAAAGAAAATTGATGATTTTTGTTAAGCAGTGTGTGGACGATCTGTCCCACAATTAAAGCCATAAAACTGCCAATACAGTCACCACACGCAAATTAGAGCTGTCAAAGATATAAATGATGCAGCTTTAGTAGGTGATATATTTGCATACACTCCAAGCTCAAAATGAAAAAGGCAGAAAGAGATATTAACAATCTAATAAAACTTGTAGATACTCTAAATCCATCAAGTGGTTGTTAACAATCTAGAGAGCAGTGTCAAGTAATCCCAAACCAAAACGGAAACTTGAAAGTTGAGATGTCAATAGTTTTCGCTCTTTATGAGGTTGTTGGAGCTAAAAAAAAAATCACTTTTTTTCTTCACAAGATCCTATAAAAAAAGTTAAAACTGCTCAAAAGTTCACTTGGAAGCCAGAAAGCAGAATCCAACTGTCTTCTTCTCTTTGTGACAAAAAGGCTCAAAGCAGTCCCTAAAGATAAATTCAGAAGTGAAAACAGTACGGAAAGCCAGAGGAGAATGGGCATAAATGCTTAAAGCCGTATACTTTATCCAACAAGCCCCAGAATCCGGGTAGATTTCATTTTTCCAACTGTTAAATACAAGCTAATCTAGATCCCAGTTCGTGTGCCCTTTTCATAATCTGTGGAAGTACAAATCCACCGCTTCATTGATGTAACAGATACCAACTACAAACAATATGACAAAGCCAATCCTGTTTTATCTCACAAGGCAAATTTCTTGTTGCTTGGGCCACAGTCTAAACCCACCAACCAAGGGATTTTAAATGGATAATCTTAATAAATACCTATAAAAGTGCAGTCAGAATTTTTATCTTTTATTCTTAATTCATAACCTTTTTAATTAAATAATTACACTAACAAAAAGATATTTAATAAGAGTAAAAATATAACTCATGCACTCTCAAAAATAAATTATCTATTTTTTTCATCTTAAAAATGGGTGTTTCAATATGGGCCTTGAGATTACACGGCAAAAATGCCCTTGTGCTTGTGGAGGAATTTGACATCATAATTTTAGTTTTAGTAGCCGCAGTAGTTTCATTGAAACAATCATACATACACATGGACCAGACAACATACGAAAAGGCTTAGATATAGATTCTCCACAACTACAAGTAGCCAAATGGAGAATATTCAAGCGGTTAAGAAAAAGGATAATGCAATATAAATTTAAGTTGTAGAAAAAATGGTATCCTCATTAACTTAACTCTCCGTTAGTTGACTTTCAAAAAGGCTCAAGCCAAATCCAAGATATTGAAAATGTAAAATCTTTCCCATAAACTACAACAGCAAGGTAAAATTTCTAGTCTAGTTGTCAAAACTAGTTCAACCTTCACCGCTCTCTTATATCTCCAAACCCCTAACGCAAGTCATACAAGAGTTTGAAGCTCAATGTATTCGCTTCCGTAGCAGAACTATGACAACTGTTATCTACTTCTTCTTCTTCGACTTGCTAGAAAGTGACTGAGTATATGCGGTTCCCTGAGCATCAAAAGGACAAAACCAGACAGATTAGCAGCAGTAATCGGTACCGTGAGAAGGGATTAGGAGCATGTTTTCCATCTACTACGAACTTGGGTTGTAAATTTAAAAGAAATGCTTTCATTATTAACCACACACCTGAAGCCATTCATCCATCGAGGCATCGATGGACCTGGTCCCCACTTCCACCTTGGGAGCTCTCTTGGTTTTCTAATCAAATATAACAGACACGTAAATAATTATTTTTATGATGAAAACCAATGCCAAATAAATATGACAACACGTGAGAACATAAAAGGGAAAATATTTCTAACAGGGTGCTTGATTTTCTCTTAAGCGTATCTATAGATGTAAAGTTTATCATTACTCCCTTTCATTTCTGAATCTCATATCAATAATCAACTATGTCACAATTACCATCACAATAGCAATTAATTTTCAAAATTCACACGTCTTCTAAGGAAAAGAAGAGTTAAAATTGTAGTGAACAAAATCGGTGCTATTCCAAGAAAGGAAATAATTCATATTGAAATGTTAGTACCTTGGAAAGATTTTTTATTTGACCATGAATGTACAACACAAGGAGAACAATACTAGCAATTCCAAGGGTAGCAAGGAAAACAGACTCAATGCTGAGGAATACACCGGCCTCGACAACTTCAATAGTACCATTGTAGAAGGTGCTCTGATAGGGTTGCTGGTCTATCTCATAGATAATGGTACCAACAAGATCAAAAGTTCCAGGCTGCATTCAAAACGAAGAGAAAATATTAAAGCTAAGTTAGAAGGTTTTCTCATGCATCTTGTAGGGCAAGAAGTGAAAAATAACCCAAAAGAGTGAATTCAGAACTGCATAATATGAATATACGTAACTTTCAACGTAATTTGAGTACCTGCAAGTACTTGCTCACAGCAAATATGTATGGGAAAGTAGCCTGAGCTGAAACTGGTACTGATGCATTGTTAAAGCCCTATAAAATATAAAAATTAATGCACGTAACACAGTGAGATGACAAAATGAATGCACCAAATCAAGCAAATGAAATCATGCAATCTTAATGCACTTCGTATAAGTTGAAAGCAAGAATTATGAGAGATTGATCAAATATTAGGACATACTGATATGTAAACATTTTTGACAATTCACACAACATGATCCAAAACAGCTAATTTGATAATTGATATAAATGCAATCAAATTTGAAATCCCACGACTTACCTGTGCAGTCAGATTTTGAACCAACATTTTATGGTCAAAAGGCAGATGAACACTAGCCTTAATCGCGATGACGTTCACGCTTGAATCCCCTGGATTTTTTTTTTCATCAAGAAAAGCAACCAAGATACAACTTTAACAATTGTAAACAACAAATGGAAAGGTACATTTACACGCCCACAGGAAGAAAAAGAGAAAATTGGTAATAATAGAATATGACCGATAAATTATGAAAAAAGAAAACAGTAAACGGGAAAAAGCGAATCAAAGATGCCAAATTTCCTTTTTTTCATTTCATTACCATCATTTTTCACTCCGACAAGTAGCTCAGTCTCTTCTCCGGCTGTAATCACTGCAAAGAAGAAAGAAACCAACTTAAAAATCACACGTCAATAACAACAGAAACAGTAAATACTCTTTCATCAAAAGGAATTCTCACATCGCGCGCTATTCTTTGGGAAAACAGAGACAGTCTCAACTCCTGGAGCTGGGCTAAAATTTCCATCACCAAAGTCCTGTATATCCTCACCAACGATCCCAAGATCACTGCTTTCTTCTACGGCCTCAGGAACTTCCACATCCGAATCCGAATCCGAATTACCCCTAGCAACTGAAATTTAAATAAATAAATAAAGTATATAGATTCATCAAAATAGGTCCACTAAACATGCAGAATAGAGCTAAAAGTAGCGTAAATATAATAAATCCCCAATAAGGAATTAATTGGCCCAGAAAAAAATTATATAAGTTGACCATCAAAATACCAACCAAAAGCTATCAGAACCCAGCAGATCGAATACGAAAAATTTATTGCACTAGCTTAAGTGATGCGAAAGTCTAATTAACTATAAATATGCAACTAAGTTGAGAAAATGATAAATAATAATTTTCAAAAAAAAAAAGAGCCATTAATTGCTTTCCGAAGCAGAATCAAACCTAAATGGCCTCTCAAAAGTATTGATTTCTACATAAACGCTCAGAAAAAACCGATGCAATGATATCGAGCCAAACTTCGATTACAGCAAAATCAGATACCCCTCTTTCCTCCACGAAGAACATCCAAGAACAAAAATTCAATATCTCGCGCAAGATAATTTCTACCAAAAACCAATTTAGTGGTCCACAAAAATTGATGAAAAAATAACGCAACGGAAGCTCAAAACAGAACAAGTGCACTCAGATCTCACCGATCGCACCAGGCATGCATGCATGCATCAAAATCTAGCGGATTAATTATTACAAAACAAAAATTATGAAAATAGTTTGGTTATAAATCACGAAGTAGATGGTTGGTGAATTGAATAGATCTAGATCTGAGAAAAAAGCGAAAATTGAACCTTGAAGGAAAGGGGAAGCGATGAGGAGAAGAGCGAGAAGGAAAACCCTAATTAGCTTCATTGCGACGATTGGGAATAGTGGCCTGTACGGCTTATTTGCTCTCTGTTTCAGAAATGAGAGGCGTGGGTTTCAACACAGACTCCGAACAGGGACCAAAGCTTCGGTTCTCGGGTCAAAATGGGCGAAATTTGTATTTATATTGTCGTGTTTCTACATAAATCGTGAAAAGCGCTTTAAAAAAAGAGAAAATCCTTAAGAAAATTACGTTTTGGGACGAGAACAGAAAACGTCGTCGTTTAAGCTTGTAGGTACAAAAGTATGCACAAAGTCAAGCCTCACATACTGGACGACGTAGGATCCAGAAGCCCAATGCAGCCCAGCCCAACTTTGAAATAATACATGGAGATGAAAAGATGGTAAAATTTTGTAACTAGCTTTTTCACGTTTTATACTATGAAATATTAGTGATTCTTTTATAATATTTTAAAAATAGTAAAATTGTAGTAACTAGCTTTTTCACGTTTCATACTATGAAATTATGTAGTTTAAAAGTTTTAAGTTTTTTTAACATTTTGCTGTAAATCTAATCTATATGCTCTACAAATGGTCTCGTCGAGGTAATCTATTACAATGTTGTCATTACTAGCGGATGTCATGTGACCGATAACAATCGTCTGAAGTAATCTATTAATGATAATCTACTAGAATTTTTTTCTTTTTCAACACATAGAACCGATTGTCTCCACCTCTAATTGCTAGCGTCGGTCGCTCGGAAGTAATTTGGTAGACTATCACCCCTAATCTACCATTATTTCGTAATTTTAACACCGATAGTAGGTTATTTCTGATTGTCTACGATGACATATTTACTTATCAGGATTGAGGAATGGAAGTCAATTTCATGTTTATTTATTCTTTTTTTATCTTGTAATAGGAATGAAATTGGTGGACCCTTCTCAAATTTGAGATTGACACTCTCATACCCTCTGTTGGGATTGGAATTCTCATTCCTAATATTAACATTGAATTACTATCATACCCTTATTTTACTTATAAATATACAATTAGAAATAAAATTCAAAAAATAATAATTACAACATATATTAAAATTTATTTTATTTGCCTAATATTATAATATTAGCATAATTATTGTTATAGAATAAATATGTACTTTATTTTTTTATTAAATTAATAATATATTTAAATTTTTAACACTATTTTTTATTTACATTTATTTTATTTAAAATTTTTAACAATATATTTTTATATTTTAAATAGTTGTACAATTTATAATTATTATTTTAATACCCTATTATTACAATAAATATTTTAATTATGACTAATTTTAATATAATAAATACACAATTTATTTTTTAAATTGAAAATATCAAATTGACTTAATAGGTGTACTAATACTTTTACATTGTTTCATTCTGATTCTAGGTAAGTAAACGCATGAATGCGATTTGAAATAGCTCCGATTCTGAATTTTATCACTATTCTAACTCCGATTCTTACCCACTCTAATTTATGCTCATTCCGATTATACGTAGGTAAACATGCCATGAAAGTCTCTAATTTGAGTTTTGAGTCCGGCCAATGCCATGTACCTATTCTTAGAGTGCACGTGTCTTGAATTTTACTATTATTTTTAATTAAAATCTTTTTAATTAATATAATTATTTAATTAAAAAATATTAATCAAAGTAAAAGGTAAAAATCTAAACATAAGATATATTTATCCCCTATTCGTTTTTTTATCATGTTTTTTCAGTATGGGTTTTTTCTTTTGTTTATTTTCTGTTTTGGCAACTTTTCTTTTTCTTTATTTTTTTGTATCCCTGTTTTCTAAATAAGAATCGTAATCCTAATCGTAATTAGAATAAAACACAACAAACGGAAGCATAATAACTCAAAACCTAGAAAAAAAAAAGTGAATTTATAGATTATTTTGTTTGTAAAAAAATGATCTACCAGTATATTCTATAATGAATTGTGCGGCACAAGTTTTATATCTCAAAAGTCGTGAGAGAAATCTAAAGGTAAGATCTTTTCGTGGTATCCATGTAAATTGCCAAATAATCAACGTAGGCTTCAAAAAGCCGTGTCTTTTTATCACCAATGCATAACGAGAACTATAACCTGGAGCTACATCAAGATTAAGAAATGGTTGGAAAGAAAATTGTCACAAGACACTTGAGAAAATTAGTAATCAATAGTTCAAAAGAAAAATAAAGAAAAAGGAATAAATACAAAAATCTAAGGAACAAACTTATGATTTTATGAGACTTATCTTAAAAACAAAAATAGCACTGCCAAGATGACGACCTCATTATTAATAAGATCTATTTAAAAAAAAAAACCCTGATTAATACGATTAATATTAATGAGGGAGTCTTCGCCTAAAGGGGCCTTAACCAGTTAGTTGCCTTTGTGGTATTACCCTTAAGGTGACACAAGCAACAATATCAAAATCCAAACAAAACTAACGACAATATCCAATATGCTTAGCAGATGAGTTTGAAATCTCCACTTTCCTACCTATCTCATTCTGATGTTCAATCTTAAAGACTTTGGAGAAACGAGTAAAAACAATAGTACATAATAGTATTTATTTAATCAGTCCCCATGAATGGTGTAGCGCTCCCACTTCCTTGTTGGATCATAAATCTGCCATAATGCACAAAGTGAAAGAGGATAAGAAAACATTATATGGACTGTCGTTGAATAAACTCACGTACATAGAAGCAAGCATATACAAGTTATAGGCTAGCTACGCTTGTTGGACCTGAATCACTCAATCCGATTTTCATCGGATGACTCAGTTTTGCGTAGTCTAAGTTAAACGTCCTAATATACCTTTTATGGAATACTTTACTCTTTTTTTTTTTTTTTGGCTCTTGACTTTTATGAAAACTGGATTTGCAATGTCAAAGATGATATGCTAGTTATATATAAGTAGAGAAAGGGTCTAACCTCCCATCTTGACGCAGGGAAAATATGCTTGTTCTTCTCGTACCAGTGCCTTTCAACAACTTTCCCGGCATGAGACTGGCAGAAAGGTCAAGCACAAAAGAAATGAACGTTAACATGAATATAATTATAAATTTACTGTTCTTGAAGGGAAATAGGGGGGAAAAAAATAGTAAAAACGTGTGTGAGATTGAAAGAGATAACTATTAACAACTAGACTACTAGGCGACATAAACAATAAATACTTGGAGCTGCCTAATTAGCACATAGCCCAGCATGTGGTGAACAATCCATGAACCAATTAATAGGTGTGTATTCACTATATTGCAAGTAAATGATTATGAAAACTAGGATTTATCCCTGAATTAATTTCATGTAATTAGTGCCCGTGTGTTTCGATTTTAGCTTTACCAACACAGTATATTAATTGTAACTCACAAAAGCAAGATGTAAAGAAGACAGAATAATACCTCATCTTTTTCTATCGTTGCATCGGCAATTGTTCTTACATCCTCATGCACATCAAAGTGAAACAGCTGCAGAGAAGAAAACACGTCATATGACTAACATCTACGAAGTGCAACATGCCATGAAAGTATAGTAAAAAGTAGAGTGCAAACACATACGAGATACAGCCTTAATTGAAGCATCTTATCCTTTCATAAAAATTGAAAAATTGAATGCAATAAGCTCGTCTTGTTCACCTCTACTAAACCATCAATTATGCTATAACACATAATACAGAGCAAAAAGAAGAGTCATTACCGGTCCACTTTTGCCCCTAGCCTTGTTAATGATTAGCTCGTAGAAACTATGTTGCTGTACTAGCACAAAGACAGATGATACAGAATTGGTTAGCAGAAAGCACCAGAACTCTACCTAAATTCATCTATAAACTATTGTCTTACATGCGGGATGATAAGATCTTCTTTCACATAAAGCAAATTCTCCACAGAGGTCGTCCGAATCTCTCGAAACTCTGGTGCAAGTTGTTGCTGAACAGCCCGAAGAAACTCTCCTATGGTGTCACCCTTGCGTACCTGAATGGTGAATAGAGACCATAAAAAGAAATTAATTACTAGAAATATAAACAAGTTAATCACTAGAAAATGTAAGTTGGTATAGTTTTACTTGCCTGGATCACTCGCCTATGGCCTGCTCCATCCCAATAACTATAGGTAATTTCAAGGGGCTCATCTAAAATTAAAGGATGCATTAAGTTGGTATAAGATTTACTCATGTCATGAACATAAAATTTAAAAAGCAAAGGTCAAAATGCAGTACTTCGTATCTGCTCCTGCTCAAGTAGCCATTGTTTCCGCAACCTTTCACGCTCAGCTTGTTCCTCAGCCTCACGCTCACTGAAACGGCATCCTCAGCAACTCTAAGCTCAAATGTTAGGAGCAAGATGACGGAAAATAAAGAGACAGACATACAGATACACACATGGAGATAGATAAATAGATACCACACCTGTCTGGCAAAAAGCTAGTTTCCACTGTGGGATCTTTGCCAAATTTAGCATTGCGTAATCTTGCTGAATCAGTATTTTCTGAAGAAACAGTGATAAACCATTAGATTAATATGAATTCTAGAGAATCGGCAATAATGTTTGTGGTATGGGAAGCCATGAGAATATTTAATCATGAATATCTATCACAGTACCAAAGAATCCCATTTATATCAAGAATTTAAAAAAAAAAAAATCAACGAATGCAACAGAAATACCAAAATTATCCATAGTAGAGATTTAGCTGTATTGCAGGAACCCCACTGCCCATTTCTAAACATTTTCAATCTAAGTAACAAAATCAAAATAATCAGCTATTATTAGTAGAATGAGTGCTGAAAAAACAGCTTAATTCCTTTTCTTTTTTTTTCTTTTTTTTTTTTATAAATAAAATGGGGCAACAACTCCATTTTTGTCCCTTTTTACACAAACTGCAATACAAGCCAATCAAGAATGCCCTTTTCTTTCCTACAGAAATAAAAGATACGCTATTTGGAATGAAAGAAAACATAATAGAAAAAATCATTACGGTTTTCTCCATCTTCATTTTCACTTCCGTTCTCAATGTCATCTGCGAAGGACAAACGAGAACTCCCCTTAATCTTCCTCTTTTTACGCTTCTGTAATTGGAGCTCCTCCTCCCTAAAAATTAAGCAAAATAAAGCAGAAAAAAATAACTAATATGAAAAAAAAAACTTAAAAATTTCACAAATTTAACAAAACATGCATCCAAAAACTCACTCCTGTTGTAACTTCTGAAGCTTTTCCTTCTCTTCCTCCTCGATCTTATTCCGGATATTAACTCTCTGCAACAACCAAAAAAAAAAAAAAAAAAATCAACAAGAAAAAACAAACCTTTGCTAAACATCCATTCCTTTATTCATCATAAACCAAAAAAAAAAACCTAACGCACCGATAAATCCCGTTACCTTCTCAACATACTCCTCTCTCGTAACCAAACCGACAGTTTCCTTTTTAAACGCTGTCTCGAGAATCTGAAGATCACACGCACAACAACAATCAATTAATTATTTTCTCATTTAGCAAAAAAAAAAAAGTAATTATTTTCTCCATTTCCTGAGCTTAATCAGAGTTGAAACAGAAATCGAGGAACAAGAAAACCCTAGATTGGTTGAAGACGAACCTCGGAGGTGCTGGAACCGAACTGGAGGAGGCCGGGCTGGTCCTTGGCGGAGGCGGACTTGGTCTTGAGCTCCTGGATCTTCTGGCGCTCGGCTTCTCTCTGCTTCTCCAGCCGTCGGATTCTCACGGCGTCCTGGGCCGTCCCCACGTACCCGTCCCCCATGCCCGACATCTTTTCTCTCTCTACCTTTTATCTGTCTGTCTCTTCTAAACCCTTCTCGTTTCTGTTCACCTACGACGCTCGCGAAATTCTAAACCCGCCGTTGCTCCGGTGGGTGGTATTTATATGATGTGAGGTTAATTGCATTGGTGAACCATGGATTTATATTTGTCAAATTCGGCCCCATATTTTTTTATTTTGATAAAATTGACCTAAATTTAATATCTATTGCAATTTTGGTCTAATAGCCAAACAAACGCCAATTTATGGTCAATTGTCATAAACGCACCAAAGTTTTTACACAAATACATCCCAAAGATTTTATTTATTACTTTACAAACTGGACTTAAAAGTTATTGTTTAATAAGGGATGTAAGTTATCAATTGGATTGCCTTGTCAAAGCTATTATATTTAAAGTCTTAATAACGAGATTAAAAATTTAAGATTAGTTCAAAGTACATAAGTGTAATTTATCGCATGAGGAGTGGTGTATGACTGTTGATTGATCGCTCTTACTTCTAGATGATTTATTGTTCTTTTGATTAGAAAAAGAATAACAATAGTGTTTAACCGCTAAATTATAAAATAAAATAAAAAACAGAGAATGGATCAAATTTTTATATTTGAGTTAAATTTCATAGAAAGTTTATCTCTATCAAGACGTTCAACATCAAATTATATTCATATTTAAAAGGTACGCATATTTGGATAAATTGGACTCTATAAAAATATTATTTTTTCTCACCATTAAATACATTTTAAAAGCCTAGTAAAATAATTGTGTGTTGATAGAAATCCCACTTTTAAAAATGCACCGCTAGATTTGTTGCCATAGAAAAGTTCATCTTATTTAGAGAAGGCCAAAATTCCAATCGTGCGAATATAACTCTAAACAGTTGTTTCGTTCATTTCACCGATTTGAGTTTTTAATTTTAGATTTTTACAATTTAAAACTCTCAAAAAATGTCACTTTTAATTTTTTCTGTTACAGTAAAAAAACTCTTAAAAAATGTCACATCTCAGTTTGAATTAAAAACTCAAATCCGTTAAGTAAACGAGGCAATACTTTTTTTCATTTATTTATTTATTTTTTAATTTTCAATAAGAAGAGTTAAAAATACCGGTAAGTCCAATGGACTACGGCCAAAGCTTGGGAGGCAAAAGCAACGCACAAACGCCACAAGACGACGCCTTTTTGGAGGTGGAGATAAGCTTTCGCAGAAGTCGCAAGCTTTTGCAATCAGAAGATTCACAGAACAGAACAATTCAAAACCCACACCAACACAAAAACACTTTTCTTTACCAGATATCATGAATCAGCTCCGACACGACGACTTTCTTCAATCCCCGCCGCCTTCCTCTTCTCAGCCCAGTTCCAGGTTTCTTTCAATAGCCCCCCCAAAATTTTACGTTAATTAGAAATCTCTCTTTCTTTTCCCTTTCAAGGATATGCGCACAAAATTTCTCCTTTTTTAATCTCTGGGATTTATCGGCACCGTTGAATTGAACAGTTTGTTTTTGTTGCTAATTAGTTCATAATGGTTTAGAAGCTAACAATGTGGATCGATATTCGATGGGTAAAGTTGCTTTTTTTTTTTTGGCTGATTTATTTACTATAATTTTTCCGGTATTGATGCCTCGGTAAAGTTCAAGTCTTTAGCAAATTTCGTGAGTAAAATTGAACAGAAAGAAAGATATATTAGATATGAAATGGTCTTATTTGGTTGAGAAAGTTGGCAAATCATACGCACAAGGCATTTAAAAGTCGTTTTGTTTTTTTTGCCCACAATAGAATTGTATACGTAACCAAAATAGTTTGTCTTTTTTTTGTAGCCAAAGACCTGAAGCTGACATCAAGGATTGTATAGCTGCGAGAAAGATTCAGAAGGCTGACAGGGAGAAGTTGAGGAGGGATCGACTAAACGATCAGTTTATCGAGTTGGGAAATGTTTTAGGTATGAAAGATAAGTTAATTCTAATGTTGTGGAAATGTTAACTCCTCTTACATTTCTGTTCATCGTCACTTGTCACAATAAAATGCAGATCCTGACAGGCCGAAAAATGACAAAGCAACAATTTTAACTGACACAATCCAACTGCTGAAGGATTTGACTTCTCAGGTTAACAAACTTAAAGCTGAGTATGATATTTTAACTGAAGAATCTCGCGAGGTGATCTTTCTATCTGTTTTACTCCTTGAAGGATGATTTTTCTTTTGTGGAATTTCTTCAATATAGTTGATTTGTCTATCTTGTTTCAAAACAGTTGACTCAGGAGAAGAATGATCTCAGAGAAGAGAAAGGTTCTCTCAAATCTGACATTGAAAACCTTAACGTTCAGTATCAGCAAAGGGTCAGAACGATGTTCCCCTGGACAGCTATGGATCACTCGGTTATCATGGCCACACCTTCATACCCCTATCCAGTACCAATGCCGATGCCTCCAGGGCCGATCCCAATGCACCCACATATGCAGCCATATCCGTTTTATGGCAATCATAATCCAGGGGTCATTCCTAACCCGTGCTCAACTTTTGTTCCATACATAACTCCGAGTACCCTGGTTGAACAGCAGTCCCAACAATATGTATCTCCGGTTATGCACCCAGGAAACCAGTCTGATGTTTCAGGCAAACAAGATTCTAGAAACAAGTCTTCAGGGGAGAGCAAGATTGAGAGAAGTGAGGACTCAAATGATGTTGCGACAAACCTGGAGTTGAAGACTCCTGGATCTGCAACAGATCAGGTTTGTTGCTGACTTTTAATTTACTTCAGGAAGGAACCAGAAGTCCGAGGCCATCTTGAATGTTAAGTATCAGAGTCATCTTGGAATTAACCTTTTGATTATTGCAGGATTTATCTTCGGGACAAGGAAAGTCTCCAAGGTCCGTGAGGAAGGAAAACAACGTCATTGAAAGAAGTTCTTCAAGTAGATGTTCTTCCTCTCGTAGTGTGCAAGACAGCTCGTCAAATAGCATAGTCAGTAGCAGGAACGTCAATGATTGACAAAGAGAGTAAATACAAGGAACAAAAGAAAAAAAAAGGTTCTTTTTAACTTGAGCATTTCGATCATAGATGTGTTGCTGCTAATCTAATGTACTTAGTTCTCTCTGCTGCTCCTTGTTTGATTTCAGTGATTGGCATTGTTTAAGTTTGAATAATTGATCTTACCCTTAGTTGAAGCACTTTTTATATGAAGTAAATTTGTAAATGCTAAAAATTTTAAGCAACAAAGATGTAAGGAAGAATTGTTGTAACTCGTCAGGATTGTTCAATGCATATACTGTGGCTGGAAGATGTCCAACTTGGGTTTGAAGGATTTTGCCGTAGCAGTCTTGGTAGCTAATTCGACAATGTTTTATATCCGGTTTCCTAATTTATGCAGATTTTGCCAAAACGACATTTGTTTCAGTTCCAAACTTTCTTTCTCTATAGCATAATAAAGAATTCTGAGAGTTCTAGATAAGCACAGTGTGGTGTGAAAGGGCCATAAGAGATGGCACTCAAAGCATTAACTTCCAAAGGAATTCAATGCTGAAAAGGATGCGAATGGGGTGTCTGAATGAGGGGTTTTTTCTTGGGAATGGATGTTATTTAAAAATGTACCATAAAGGCCACAAGCGAGAATACTGATATGAGTAGATGTTAATGATGGAATTAGCAGATTTATAGCATATGAGTAGATGTTGCTTAGGAAGTTGAGAATTGCTGTTGTTTGTACTAATTCTTTATCGTTTTGATCGAGTCATTGTTCAGACTCATTATTGTTTGTATGCTTGGCAAGAATGGTTGTAGCACAAACAAACACCAAAATGAAGCACCGTGTTCAGTTTTAGTGCTTCCCCAAAACTTGGTAAATATCTGTTAAAGATTTTTTGGGGTACAATTGCAGAGTATGATGTAGTGCATCCTTTAAAGAAGAATCAATAACAGCCAAAGAATCAACTACGAGACTGGTCTACGATCAGTAGATCGGGTACAACTTGACCTTACCCGCTTCCGGGCCCAACTAAAGACGTCTCGTTCGCCCCCCATCTTCGAGGTTGAGTCATAACTTCGTCTCTACTAAGAAAAATAAAAATCCCGAACAGTCTTGTGTTAAGCTATCCAAAGTCTACTGAAATACGTTGTTGCTTTAGATTCTATTTTGGTCGGTTTGGATTATTGACGTAAAAGGTGCAGAAGGACAAAACATGCTGGCTAATCTGATCTCATCATCTCAACCGTAATAACTGTTTCTTGGTTTGCACTGAGTTTTAATAATTTTTTTTTTATTCAAAGATTATATAGCTGTTTTTCGCTTACATCAGTTTGCAGCTCACATTGTTCTGGTCCGAGCCGAAGAATTTAGTTTAATATTAATTTCTTGTGAGTTTTTCTGGTAGCATCTGAAAAAATAACTATTAATAGTTATTTATTTTTCAGTTAGATTTGTATTAAAAATTGTCAATTTTTTTTTTAATTTAATGTGATTTTAACTAAATTTAACAATAAGAAGAGAAAAGACACCGACAAAATGACTACCTAAATAAGTGGTTGTTCCTTAGAGTTAAGAGGTTAGGTGGTCCAACTACCCATCAAAGATTCAAAGGCAAGCAAAACCCTCATCTGTTTGAAGTTAATCGCCCACCTTGACTAAGATTCAGTCACCGTGTTTTGACTAACCAAACAGATCTTTTTTCTTGCTCTTCTGAAATGTGAAAGTTTCTCAACTACGTCGTCTTACTAGTAGGATTAATTTTTTATCTGTTGAATCTGAATCAAATCAGATTAAAAAAATATGCAGAACATATAATTTTTAATATAAATTTGACAACTGAATAAAAACTATTAGTAATTTTATTTTTTTAGTCCTGTGGAAAAACTCTCCTGAAATATAACAAATCTCAATCTCTCTCTCATTTTTCCTTTAAATGAAAATATATATTTAATATTTGATTGAGCCATAAAGCAAGTCACGTAATTTTGGTGAATATCTAGCTCCCGAGAGAGTGCAGACTACAAAGGTCCACAATCCACATTCATAGCCATTGACCACATATTTGCCTGAAGATTCAAACCACTCCATCCACATCCAACCCCTGTTTTTTAACCTTAAACCACGTGGCAGGATGAGAAAGACCCTTACTATGTATCCCGCCGGGAACGAAAACAACAAACGACGACGTTATATGCAAAGAAAGATCAGGAAAAAAAAGCCACCTTCCCGTACGCGTCTTCTCGTTTAAGGACAGCGACACCGGCCGGATATTATTATCGGTCATTCTAAAGTCTATTTACCTCAACCGCTTCTAAAGCGCGTCACTGCACTTCAAGTCAAAAAATAATAATTAGGATAAGAATTGACGAAAAACAAAAAAAAAATTCAATTAGGGCTTCTTGTTGTTATTTTTATATGAATCTGAAGGGTTAAGATAAAGAAAAAAGAACTATAATTTAACATAAAAATAAGATCTTGCTTTGTCACGCTCTTATCTTATGAAAGCGATAAATGATGATCAGGGAAAAAAAAACGCAATTTTGAAAAAAATAAATACTAAAGCGTTACTGGTGGCGTGTGTTTAACGCTCCAGAAAGCCGCGTGAGGGAAAACATTTCCTCCAATTTTGCTAACCTGCGCCGGGTTTTTCCATAAAACCCCCTAGGAACACCACAAGTAAAATCTTCGCCACTCCTCAGTCTCCTCATCATCACTTCTGGTACCTGCAACAGCTCTCATCTCATCTCATCTCATCTCATCTAATCGGACGACTCGGCTATGGCGGTGACCTCCACATCCCTCGCATCCCAACTCTCCGGGCCCACATCCCTCTCCTACTGCCCCAACTTCTCCGGCCTCCGACGGTCCTGCTCGAAGCTCGAGACCCCTCACTCTATCTCAGCCACACAATCGCTCTTCCAACACCTCCATTCCCATCTCCGCCTCTCCTCCTCTGCCAAGCCCTCCAGAGCCGTCGTCGCCATGGTCGGCACCGGAAAGGTTCTTCTTTTATTTTAATGTTTGAAGATTCCGCTCCGAATCTCAATCGCTAAGATTCTCTGTTTGTGTGTTTGACTATTTCACATATTTACTGTTTGCAATTTTTTTGTTTTTGGCGATTTGAAGAAAATGCAATAAAGAGGGGAAAAAAAAGATTCAAGCTTTGTCGACAGATTTTCATGGCTGGGCTTTGGATGCTCTGTTTTGCTGAAAAGAGAGTAGGATTTTTAGAATTTGACTTTTTGACAAGATAAAAATAAATAAATGTCTGTTAAAAGACGGATTATTCGCTAAAATTGACACCTAAATTAGCCATATTTAGTGTTATAGTTTGTTCTAGTTATGCTTCGAACAATATAGTCATGTAAATGTGTTTGTTCTTTGAAAGTACCGTTTCTGAAGTAATTAGACACTGTTTAGATCATTATTCAATATTGAGTTGTTCTCCTTTTTCTGTTTTCTGATTGATTTTCTCCTTTGTTTTGCTTGCAGTTTTTTGTTGGCGGGAACTGGAAGTGTGTAAGTGTTTTCTTCTAAAAAAACGTAGTGAATTTTATCTACTTCTGTATTAATTTGGAATTTGGTGAACTCCATTTCCTTTTTACATATGAATGTTTTGTTATAACAATAGTGACTTTCTCAATAGAACGTTAAGGTCAAACATAATTTTGTAACTGGAATACGGAATATATATTCTAGTCGTGGAATTTGCATTGTTCTTCTTTCTTTTCTACTTTAGCTGTGCTTATTGGTGTTCTTTTTTTTTTTTTTTTGCCCATTTAGAATGGCACAAAAGAGTCCATCACCAAGCTTGTCTCCGACTTGAACAGTGCAAAATTGGAGAGTGATGTTGGTAAGATTGATGTACTACATTCTCTGTTGCTATTAGTACTAGACTGCACCTTAAGCTTGTTTTTGGATATTGTTTCATTTATGAGATCTCTCTATGATAGTTCTTAATGAATACATTAGAAAACTAAGCTTGTGCATATTGGAAAATCTCTGAATGATACAGGACTGACATTGTGTGTATATATGACATTTGAATTGCCCGTAAGGTGTAGTGTCCCTTGTATGGTAGAAGTTTGATAGGTCTATCTTATTTGCATCTATTTCACTATTTTAGTTTTCAATTAAATTAATTAAAATTTTGGGTAAAATGTTCAGATGTTGTTGTAGCGCCACCTTTCGTGTACCTTGATCTGGTAAAGAACTCATTAACACACAGGATAGATATATCTTCTCAGAACTCTTGGGTTGGAAAAGGTGGGGCTTTCACAGGAGAAATCAGGTTAGTTTACTCTTTGTTTTGGGAGAATATGCTACGTCTTTCTTTTTTTTTTTTTTTTTTCCTTAGAGAAAAAACATGCTAGCGATTTAGTTGCAACATACTTTAATTATGTACCTTTTACTCTCTCTCGAAACTTTTGTTTCTTTCTTTTTTTTACTTGGAGATTTTGATGCCCCTATATTTTTGCTTGAATTTCCAAAATATCCAATCATTGGCAGCATCACCTAGACATTTACATATTTGTCGGACTTTGAATGTGCAAATTTTATTAGCGTTTTCTGCTTTTATAGTGTGGAACAACTGAAGGATATTGGTGCCAAATGGGTTATTCTTGGGCATTCGGAGAGAAGACATGTCATTGGTGAAGATGATCAGGTGAAAATTTCAAAAGTTTTAATTTGAGGTTTCTCGCAGAAGACGGTGTCCATTATCTTTGTTGGTGTCAACTGACTGCTGGGGTTTAACTCAACCTTTGTGACCTACAGTTTATAGGAAAGAAAGCAGCTTATGCGTTGAGCGAGGGTCTTGGAGTGATAGCATGCATTGGGGAGCTCTTAGAAGAAAGGGAAGCAGGGAAAACTTTCGATGTTTGCTACAAGCAATTGAAGGCTTTCGCAGGTAACTTTTCTTGCTTCAAGTGTCTATTATTGCTCATTAACTGTCCAGCATTGTGGAAATCTTTTATGTACTTATTATGTATAATTTGTGTAGACATTTATGTATGTATTTGAGAGAGATTCTATTTTCACAAGAATAAATAACTTGTTACTGGCCCATAACACTGCCCTTAGCTTTGCAGATGCAGTACCCAGTTGGGATAATATAGTTATTGCTTACGAGCCCGTATGGGCTATCGGAACCGGTAAGGTGGCTACTCCTCAACAAGCTCAGGAAGTACATGTAGCTGTTCGAGACTGGCTTAAAAATAATGTGTCAGCGGAAGTTGCATCTAAAACACGCATTATATACGGAGGTACCTTATTTGCGACAGAAACATTCCAATGGTGTGATTACTCTGATACGTGGAATTTTCGTTTCTGATAACTGGAAACATCACGATACTTCCAACAGCTGCTAATGATTATAATGAAACTGAATCTCATTTCAGGATCTGTAAATGGAGGTAATTCCGCTGAGCTTGCAAAGCAGGAAGATATTGATGGTTTTCTCGTCGGTGGTGCTTCCTTAAAGGTATTCTCTATCCTGGTTTTGAAACTCTTGAAAGATTAAAGCACATGGTAAAGTTTCCATGATTTTAGTTATGGTGAGATTTATTTTCTTTTATTAATGCCGCAGGGTCCCGAATTCGCTACCATTGTCAATTCTGTAACAGCTAAGAAAGTTGCTGCTTGATGTATGAAGGTTTCGGCCACAAGAGCTAAATAAGACCGGACAACCCAAATCCATCTTGAAGAATATTATGAAAGATCTATTGAGAATCAGTTTCGTTTGAATGGGTTTTTGTATCAATTTTGAAGTTTCTCATCCCCTCTAAATAAGAGAGTAAAGTTCACTTCTTTTTCATGGAACAACATTGCGGGGCATAAACAATTCCTGAACAGGATATGTTGTCAGCACATACTGGGAAATGGTATTTCAAGGCTTCTCATTTTTGTCAATGAACCAACATATGTGATTTCACTATTGCCAAGGCACAACAGCGTGTACTAGCCCTAGACTCGTGTCACCTGCCAGTGTTTCTTGATCCAAGCTCCTAGTCCCACGTGCCAATTGTCAGCGATTGTCCATATTCACTTTAACATGAGTAAAGTGCATGCTCAATCCCTCCGTGTTAAGGTTGCAAATTGGCATCAAACACTTGAGTGGGTATCAGTCCAAAGTGAAAGTTTGTCAGACAGATCCCTCACTCAAAGCATATATGCCAAAGCAACCATACATATATATATATATATATATGTGTGTGTGTGTGTGTGTGATTATATATGTATGTATTTATGTATCATTAAAAAAGGAAAACAAAGATTATCTTCACTACTTATACAAGCCCTTTTGGTAAAAGATCACATTAGAGAGACCAAAGAGAAAATGGAATGGTTCTACCCCAAGAGGAGAGGTCCAGAATGGAAGCAGGGCTGGACAAGCCAGACCATGGCCTCTATTTCCCCACCACCATTTCATTTGCTCACCATTTTTGCCATAGTCATGGTCTTACTGTGGCTTTCTCAGTACACTGGCTACAAAGCCCAATTACAGCAAACAACAGCTAATTTCCAGTTCTTCCTGTTCTTATTCCCTATTCTGTTGATACTTTTCATGGCTTCATATTCTTCGAGTTGGTGGCCAAACTTTCAGCTCCGCCGAGTGCGGCAGGAGGCGTCAATGCAACCAGTGGCAGCCGGGAGCTCGCCGTGGGGTGTGGCCATTTTCGTTGTGCTGCTTTTGATTTTACTTTCTTACCAGTCTTCATTTCATTCAAAGTGGTTTGGACCTCTTCGGAGTTCGGATTAGTTTATGTTGCTTAGTTCACTTAAAGCTGGGACTTCTTAATTTGCAAGTTACTTGTTTGTTACACAAATACAAACGCACTTCTTTGTTTTGTCTTCCCCCTCCCCCATATTTTTTTGGCCAATGCATCACTTAGACCTCTTTCACTTTACGAATTTAAATTTTCAATTCGAATTAAAATGTGATATTTTTTTAAAATTTTTTACTGTAATAAAAAAATTAAATGTGATAATTTTAAAAAAAATTTTATTATAAAAATTTAAAATTAAAAATTCAAATGGAGAAACGAACAGACCTTACTTTATACGAGCCATACAATTTGAACGTGTCAAATCTGGGCCTTCCTGGCTTTGCTGATTGTTATGGGGCATTATGAATGATGGCCCCACAAGGCCGGTGCGTAGGTTTGGATATTTAATTCATAATAACATGCATTTGTCAAACCAACCATGATTTTCTTGCTTCGACCCATTTAGTCAAAGAAACGTAGCAATGAAATAGACATTTAACCTTTCAGTAATAATAGGCACATTCTAGAGATATCAGAATTTAATCCATTATCAACCTAAGTAGTTTCTTTTTGCTTCTTTTTTTTCCCAACTAAATTTAATTAGTGGGAAATTCGGGTTCCTGGAAATTGAGCCATTTATTAGATCAGTGCTATCTGCTTGCAAATAGTGGTTAAAAACTTAGAATGATCTCTCCACCTTGATTCTTTTACAACTAATTAGATTTTTCTGATTTCATGGTTTACCGCTTTTTTCTTTACTTTTCTTCTTTAATCTCTATAGTTTATCCAAAGAGTAAATTTTTTTTTTTCCCTCTTGGGGCTTTAGTTTATCTTGATATCCAAGTTGGTAAGGGATTACTTGTCTTTCGGGTAATTATACTTCCTAAGCAATCATATAAGGACAAGCATGCCTCTAAAATAATCATAATTATTAAACAAAGAGAGCATTAGTATTCACCATAAATTAACTGCATATTATTACGATCTTGGTATAATTTTTTCTAGCGTATTACTTTTCACACAACTTCATAAGCAAGCAGAAGAACAATATTCTCGTTATTAAAAAAAAACATTTTGCAACAAAACTCAAAAAAAATTTAAACTCAAGTTACAACTTTATTCAAATTCACATTCTTTTAAGTTCTAACTTTATTCAACTTTACTTAACTTTATTCAAATTATAACTTTAACTCACGTTATAACTCAAATTCAATTCAAAAATTATACTCAAATTACACTCCAAAATAACAATCCCTAAATAACCTGAATTA